TTGGGATAGGAGGTGGTGAACATGCAGAAGGCCCAGTCTAGGCTCAATTTAGGAAATAGTCATGCAGTGTGGTTATGTGGTGTTCCTTTTAGTCTTTGAAGTCTATCCTTTGCTGTCTTAGGAAATTGGAGTCTCCTACTTTTCTCACTCCTATATTGAAACCTACTTTTGGATCTTTATCCTTATTTTGACAAGGGATGCTATTTAATTATTACTTTTTTTTCTTTTAAAGAGACAGGGGACTTGCCCTGTTCCACAGGCTGAGTACAGTGAGTAGCACAATTGTAGTTCACTGTAACCTCCAACGCTTGGGCTCAAGTGATCCTCCCACCTCAGCCTCCAAAAGTGCTGGGATTACAAGCCTGAGCCACCACACCTGGCCTATTTTACTATCTAAATATGAACACATTGCCCTTATAAAATCTTACAGATATTCAAAAACAAAAAACTGCTCCCTTCATTCCCTTCATTCTGCTCCTAAGAGTAACTACTGTTATTAGTTTGATGTGTCTTTTATATTTTGTTTTCATTCACATACAAAGATGTGCACATACAGAAATATTTTATTAACATTTTGCCTTTTTTGAAGGAAGGTTGAATGTTACATAAATGTGAGCATATTGCATGTGTTATTCTGCCATTTGGATTTTTTTACTTAACATGCATTATAGATCTTTCCATGTTAGTATATGCAGATATATTTCTCTTTAACTACTGAGTAATATTTCATAGTATAGTTGTATCATGATATAATAATTCCCCTTTGGGTAGACATGGGTGTTTCTATAATAACTGTTTAGTTATTATAGCCAGAGCTAAAATAAACATTCTTCCTTGAACATGCCCCTTTGAGCACAATATTTCTCCAAGATCAATAACCAGCTGTGAATTTGCAAAGGGTATGCTTAATTTTTAATTAATGACAAATGGCTGTTTTCAGATTCTTCATTCTTAATACATTATAAATGAAAAGTTTCTTAATGGTGCTACCTTTGGCGGGAGGGGGCCAAAGGCAATATATGTAACCTTAACATTTGTACCCCCATAATATGCTGGGGAAAAAAAGAGTGCTCCCTTTTCCAAGAGTTTGTTCATTTTAGTAGTGATAACATCTCTAAACAACAGTAATTATCAGTGTTCTCCAAAGGGTGAGCCTCAATTACATCTGTTACAAGCATCTGAGGGTGCTTATTAAAATACATTTTGCTGAGTCCCACTCATTGAATTAGAATATCTGAAGGTGTGTTCCAGGAATCTACTTTTAAACAATTTCAAAGTGATTTTACTGTACACAAAATTTTGCTGTTACCAGCGAGGCAGTATCTCATAATGAATTTTTTTGAGTATTAAAACCTACAATACAGGCCGGGCGCGGTGGCTCACGCCTGTAATCCTAACACTCTGGGAGGCCGAGGCGGGTGGATTACTCGAGGTCAGGAGTTTGAAACCAGCCTGAGCAAGAGCGGGACCCAGTCTCTACTATAAATAGAAAGAAATTAATTGGCCAACTAATATATATAGAAAAAAAAATTAGCCAGGCATGGTGGTGCATGCCTGTAGTCCCAGCTACTCAGTAAGCTAAGGAAGAAGGATTGCTTGAGCCCAGGAGTTTGAGGTTGCTGTGAGCTAGGCTGACACCAGGGCACTCACTCTAGCCTGGGCAACAAAGCAAGACTGTCTCAAAACACACACACACACACACACAAACCTACAATACAGAATACCATGAATGAATGTTAGATATTTGATGGAAATCTTCAAAGAAAAGAATATTGTGCTTTCTGTGATCTTCTGAAACATAATAGGAGGTAGTGCAATGTGGTGGTTGAGTTCGAGCTCTCAAGTTGGATGAGTAGTGTCTTGGTCTGCTTCCTGTTTCTTATAAAAGAATACCTAAAACTGGGTAATTTGTAAAGAAAGGGAATTACTTTCTTGCTGTTATCATGGCTGAGAAGCCCAAGGTTGAGGGGTCCCATCTGTAGATAGCCTTCTTACTGGTGGGGACTCTGCAGAGTCCTGAGGTATGCAGGGCGTCACATGGCCAGGTGGCTGAGTGTACTAACATGACATCCTCAAGTCTCTCTTGCTTTTCTTATAAAACCACCAGTGCCATTCCCATTCCACAATATCCTTTTAATCCATTAATCCTTTAATTTATCAATCCATGAATGGATTAATGCATTCCTAAGGGCAGACCCCTTAGGATCCAATCACCTCTTTAAGGTCTCACCTCTATTGATTAAGTTTCAACCTCAGTTTTGGAGGGGACATTCAAACCATAGCAACTAGTCTGAATCCAGACTTTAACACTTGCTAAATAGACAAGTTTCTTAATCTCTTTAACTCTGTTTCCTTTTTTGTAAAATAATTACAATGAAAGTGCCTACATTCTTGGATTATTGTGAAGATCAAACAAAGTAATGAATGTAAAGTTCTTAGCACAATTCCTGGTTGATAGTAAATGTTCAATAAATGTTTTAACTCTAGAAATTACAATGAAATAAATCAATTATGGAACAACAAACTAACATTTGTTGTGAATGTTGGGGAATTTGAGGTAGGTAAACTCTGAGGTAGATTAGAATGGATAGTAATTTCTTTTTTTTTTTTTTTTTTTTTGAGACAGAGTCTCATTCTGTTGCCCGGGCTACAGTGCCATGGTGTCAGGCTAGCTCACAGCAACCTCAAACTCCTGGGCTCAAGCAATCCTTCTGCCTCAGCCTCCAGAGTAACTGGGACTACAGGCATGTGCCACCATGCCCGGCTAATTTTTTTCTATTTTTTTTTAGTTGGCCAATTAATTTCTTTCTATTTTTTAGTAGAGATGGGGGGGGGTCTTGCTCTTGCTCAGGCTGGTCTCGAACTCCTGACTTTGAGTGATCTGCCAGCCTGGGCCTCCCAGAGTGCTAGGATTACAGGCCTGGCCAGAATGGATAGTAATTTCTGGGAAGGAGGAAGCAGGGGCGATAGGATGAGATCATTAAAAAGTAAGAACTACTATGATTTAGCATTGTATACTTTCTTTTTATATTATAATACTTTGAATCGTTATACTTCCAATACATGGAAATTATGTGTATATTTGTACATATTTATGCATTATATACTGTAATAGTATTTATTAAGAATCATGATAGGCCGGGCGTGGTGGCTCACGCCTGTAATCCTAGCTCTCTGGGAGGCCGAGACGGGCGGATTGCTCAAGGTCAGGAGTTCGAAACCAGCCTGAGCAAGAGCGAGACCTCGTCTCTACTATAAATAGAAAGAAATTAATTGGCCAACTAATATATATAGAAAAAATTAGCCGGGCATGGTGGCGCATGCCTGTAGTCCCAGCTACTCGGGAGGCTGAGGCAGGAGGATCGCTTGAGCCCAGGAGTTTGAGGTTGCTGTGAGCTAGGCTGACGCCACGGCACTCACTCTAGCCTAGGCAACAAGTGAGACTCTGTCTAAAAAAAAAAAAAAAAAAAAAAGAAGAATCATAATGAATATTGTGCCAATGAGTCCTCTAGTTATGGCTTAAAAGCAATCCTCAATGTAAGAGGGACATACACTCTAGCTGGAAAGGGATATGAGGAGTCAAAACAATATATTATTTGTTTATTTATGTTTTTTTTAGAGATGGGGGTCTTACTCTGTCACCCAGGCTGGAGTGCAGTTATGCAATCACAGCTCACTGTAGCCTCAAACTCCTGGGCTCAAGTGATCCTCCTTCTTCAGCATCCAGAATAGCTGGGATTACAGGCATGAACCACTGCACCTGGCTCCAAATAATGTATTAATGAATTATGTCCTCAGCACTGAAGGTCATTGTTTTGGATCCAGAAATGTGTAAAACACACACTTTGCCCTCTTGTTATTTATAGTATACTTGAGGAAATATATCTAAGAACAAATTATAATAATAGCTAACATGTTGGGTACTATGCTGCAGGCATTGTACTGGGTACATTACATGAATTATTTTACTTAATTCTCACAATAGTCATAGGGGGAAGATGTCATCATTTTTTCTTCTTTTTTTATAGTTAAAGAAACTTATCAGTTGGATATCTAAAGAAAGAAAGAAAGTTAAGGAAACTGAGGCTGAGATGTGCATTAGTAAATGGCAAGGCTCAGATTCAATATCAGCTAAACTTTAAAGCCTAAACACTTAGCCACCCATCTTTTATTCACTAAGCCTGTTAGCTCAAGAATTAGCCTGTAGGTAAATTCTAACTTGAATGGATCTAGACTGTTTAAAATGGATCTAGACTGTTGAATGGATCTAGACTTTGCATAAATTATGTTCTGCTTTTGTTGCCAATAGCACTCCCACAAACATGGTGAATGTTTCTAAAACCTGCTGGACTTTCTGTAATAAGTGTGGCAAGCACCAACCCCACAAAGGGACACAGTGCAAGAAGGGCAAGAATTCTCTGTATGCCCAGGGAAAGTGGTGTTATGACAGGAAGCAGAGTGGCCGTGTTGGGTAAACTAAGCCAATTTCCCTGAAAAAGACTAAAACTACAAAAAGATTGTGCTGAGGCTTCATTGTGCAGCCCAACTGCTGATCTAACAGAATACTGGCTATTAAGAGATGCAAGCATTTTGAACTAGGAGGAGGTAAGGGAAAGAACCACATGGTCCATTTCTAAGCGTCATCTTTTGTTTTATTATGAAAAGAATAACACCTTGAGGTTATGTTAAAAAAATTAACCATGCAGAGGTCTTAAAGTCTAAGAATTATCCTCAAAAGACGAAAATTGTTTGGCATACAATGCATAGGCCCATCTAAACAACAACGTGCATAAATAGCTTAAATTAGCCTGCGTTTGTGCTAAATATATTAACCCAGAAGGAAACTTGGTTTAAGTTCACTTGAAAAACGGTGCACGAAGCAGCACTGGCACGGGAAGAGACTAGTGGGTGAAGGAGGGGGTTGCCTCATTTCAACACCTTTTAAGGTAAAGGAGGAGGGAATCCTCCTTGAACTCATTAGCCAATCACGTTCTGAGGCCACTTCCCAAGGGCACTTCCTGTCTCTTCAAGTTCTCTCGGTCTCCGTTTTGGTGAGCTGGTGAGTGTGCGCTAGTTTTGCTTCTTAGTTGTCTTGAATTAGCCTTCCATTTGAGCCATATACCCACGTGGCAGGCCTTTATTTCAAGCCAGCACTGGAATGTGTGTGAGTCGCAAGGCGATTAATCTCGGCTGTGTGGATGTTGGGGGAAGGCAGTGAAATGTTCTGCCTGGCTTGTTTCCACGTGCACCTCTGCAGTACTCGGTTTGATTGACCTCCTTCCCCGAGACCTCTTGACCCAGGAACAAAAGACTCTGCTTCAGGTACAGAGTGCTTGTGTTCCTAGAAAATGCCCGGCTTCATATTGCTCGGAGGGAAAGATATTAGTATCCCAATGCTGTTTTGATTTATATCTCCCTGCGTGATCTTTGGAGGAGTTGTTCCGCCCAGACACTCACCCGGTGAGTGTCTATAGTGTCCAGGTCCTTACTGTGTAGGAGCTGCCGCGGACATTGTCTTTGCTCAGAGTATTTCGGTTTTCTTGTTAAGACTGGGCAGTAAACTCTGAAGACAGATGATTTTAGTGAGCCCTAAAAGGAGCTCCTAATTTATTGTTACCACTGTGGTGAGGGTGTCCTAAAAAGCTTAAAATTTACTGAAAAAAAAAAAAATCAAGGATCATAGTGCAAGCCTAGATTCAAATTCCGGCGCCACAGTTACTGCTCCAGGTGAATTGGGAGAGGCAGTGAGCCATTCTGAGGCTCAGCTTGTGAAGATCAAATGAAATATATGAAGGCCTGGCACTAGGTGGTGTGTATTAAATGTTAGGCACCTTCTAGAAGTAAACAAAACTTATTTATTTGCAATAAATATTTTCTTTTTTCTCACAAAAAGTTTTGCCTAATGACCTTGAGAGTAATTTCACTGGATTGCTATTTTTCTCATTGATATATTTAGTTTGAATATATGTGTTAGTTATTCTTACAGGCAGAAAATGTGAGAAAGACAAATAATAAACTAATTAATTGAATGTACCAGCAATAGGCATTTGTAGGCCTCCCATAATCCTCCCATAATTCTCAAGCTTTATTGTTACATTAATTTTATATTTGAAATAGGTAATATATTCACAGTTAAAAATTCACAAGAGACCAAAGTGTATACAATGAAAAGTCTCTTATCCCTGCCCCTAAACCACCTGACTTTTTATCCCTAATAAGAGTGTTACCAGCTTCTTGTGTATCTTTTCTAAGATATTTTATGCACATACAAGCAAATATGTGTATTTATCCTTTCCTTCTATACATACTCTGCCATGTATCTTTCTTTTTCACTTAACTGTTTTATATGAATAAATAGTGTCCACGTTCTTTATAGTGGTTATGTCATATTCTAATATATGTACATACCAGACATTTTAGGTAGTTTATGATTTTGATATTTCCCTCAAAATGAATAACTTTGTATATAAATTAGTTGGCACATAGGCATTTCAGTTGGGTTTTGATATATCCATCTTTAAAAGGACTCTAGATATTTTGCAGCACTTTTTATTTTGTGTACAGTGATGATTAGAAACCAACCTAAATATGTTGATTGAGCAGTATTAAGTACCAGAATCAAAACCATGCTGATGGCCTTGATGTGAATATATCTTTGACCACATTGGTTTGAGTAGGGGATGGGTTTATCTTGTTACAAGGAAATATTTAATGTTGGGAAGGAATGACAGCAGTGACCTAGAACATCTGAATAGTCTTTGTATTCACAAGGGCAGAAGGAGCATGCTTTCGGTGTTTACTAGAAAATGTGTTCTGGATATCTCCCTGGAATTATGGTGTTGAGGGAGTTGTCTCATATTTTAGCATTAAGTTAGGAAAAGCTGAAATGTTTTTTAGGATGTAAACATGTGAAATAAAAAGGAAGCCCTTGTGAATTTCTCCAAATCTGTTTAAGTATTATGAGGCTTAGTTCATGTCTTGTGAAACATCTAGTTTTTCAGTTAGGAGCTTTTGTTAGTTGAGGAAAAAATTAGGTTTTTCCAATGGAAGCATGCTTTGTTAAGAAGTAACTTTATATAAAATACGCTGGAGTTTTCATTGTTAAGTGGGGAATGAGGGGAAGAAGGAAGCAAGCGTGTGTCTTTTTTTTCTTAAAAGACACAGTATCTGGGAGTTGGAAGAGCCCTTCTAAGTACTATTTGAATGACTTTTCTGGTTTGTGAAAAGTTAAATTTTGGGGAAGAAAATCTGTATTACTACTCATTAGCTGGTTGAGCTTGGACAAGTACTAGAAACAACATATTAAACATTTAACTTCATGCCAGCTACAGTGCAAGATATATTTATTACCTCATTTAATCTCCACAGAAGTCCTAAAGGTAGGAAGTATTTGTCCTCATTTTATAGAGAGGATAACTGAGGCTTAGAGAAATTACATAATTGCTTAAGGTCCCAGTGAACATGCGAGACAGCCAGGATTAAAATCCAGTTCTGTCTGACTTCAAAATCCATTATCTCAGAGAATACAAATTAATGTAGCTATTATGGAAAACAGGATGGAGGTTCCTCAAAAAATTAAAAATAGAACTACCATAATGATCTAGAAATCCCACTTGTGGATATATATCCAAAGCAAATAAAATCAGTATGTCAAAGAGCTATCTACACTCCCATGTTCATTGCAGCACTAGTCACAGTAGCTAAGATACAGAATCAACCTAAGGATCCATCAACAACAGATGAATGGATAAAGAAAATATGGTATTTATGAATAGTGGAATACTATTCATCCTTATACAAGAAGGAAATTCTGTTGCTTGTGACAACTTGGATGAACCTAGAGGACATTTTTATAAGTGAAATAAGACAAGCATAGAAAGAAAAAATACTGTATGATCTTACTTAATATGTAAAATCTAAAAGAGTTGAACTCATAGAAGCAGAGTAGAATGGTGCTTGCCAAGGGTGGGGAGTGAGGAGTGTGGGGAGAATGAAAAGATGTTGGTTAAAGGGTATAAAGTTTCAGTTGGACAGGAGGAATAATTTCTCTCTCTCTTTTGTACAGCATGGTAACTATAGTTAATATTATAATAATGTATTTTGTATACTTGAAAATTGCTGAGAGTAGAACTTAAGTGTTCTTATCACAGACAAAAATGATAGGTGAGGTGATGGATATATTAATTAGATTGATTTAATCATTTCATAATGTATACATGTATCAAAACATCACACTGTACACTGTAAAGATATACAATTTTATTTGCCAATTATATCTTAATAAAACTAGGGAAAAATAAAATACAAAGAAAACTATTATCTACTAAGCTAAGTTGCTTGCCATTTATTCTTTGAACCTTGCTCACATACCTATAAAATGGAGATGATATAGAACTTGCAAAATGAGGTAATTTATGGAAACTGCTGTATAAATTCTAAGATAGGCCAAGTATTATGAAATAGATAGCAAGTTAACAGAGAAGAAGAGGCTTTACTACCTCTCACATTCTGATTTCAAGCAAGTTACTCCTTCCTGTTGTCTTGACCAAAAAGCCCTTGGGCATTATGTTTTCATTTCATTTTTATTTGGTTCACTAACCATGGGATTGGGACTGGGTGAAACGGTGGGATGTGAATGGCATGAGCTGCATGGTTAGTCCGAGTTTCTAACCTCACCACTTCTATTTCATGTATATTCTGAATGAATTCCTTCTGTACTAAGATGTTAAAACTGTCAGTATTCTTAGCTAAAACAGCTGATAGTGAGTGGGAAATAAAACTTAGAGTCTGTTTTGATAGCAGTGCCTTATACAACTATCTCTAAAGGAAACCTATGCCAAGTTATCAGTTTAGCATTTACTTCCTATATATGTTTTGTATTTTTTTTTTTGTTTCAGGTTGAAGATGAAATCCACTAAGGAGGAAAGGCCTGAGTCTTTAGCACCCTGTGTGCCAGCCCAGAAGTGGTTCTGTGAAAGCCTCTGTAATATCTATAGACCTCCCTGAAAATCAGGTGGGCTTGGATTTGGACTGTCAATAGCAGGCAGGTATTGAATTTTGACCAAGATAAGCTGCCTTAAATTCTTTACATTACATGTATTATGTGTGTCTTTTCTATCTAAAAAGATAAGAAATTGAGTTAAAATTGTATCTCATAATGCTAGACACATAATGGGCACTGAGTAAATTGGATTGGAAATGGTCAAATTGAGTGATAATGCTATTTTAAAATGGAAGTATCTATCTGCTGATTTAGTATTAGTATTTATTATCAATTTGTAGTTCGTATCAGGCCTTCATGAAACATCTATTCACACATATAAAATGTACCTTTTGGCTATGAACACCAGTGTTTGGAGGGCTTACTGCCCACAGTCAACAAAATGAATGGATCATTGATTGTTTATATAGTATTTACAAAAATGCTTAGTAAATATGAAATGACCTTTGCTTGGTAGAATGACATTTACTGAAACATGATTAGAATTCTGCAGGGAGCATCACACATTGGGAAAGGTGTTTTTAACATCAGGATTTATGTGCTAGGCTTTGTGCTGTGAGTCAAGGACACAAAGACCAGGCCCCTTGCAATATGTGTTTTGTTTGTAAAGTGAGGTAAATAGAGAACTTGTCCCTTTCAAGCTATAGTTATCATCCTGTAAGAAGTACTTGGATCAAGGAGTTTTGAGGTAGACATTGTTCAAAGTGTACAGAAACCTCTCACATTGTATCTTGCTTCTTGGCAACATTCCCTTAGTTAATCTTGCATGCTGCTGATCTGAAAATTTTATATAGTTAAAGCATTTTTCAAGTATAGGACAAAGAAGGAGTAAAATAATACTTCTGGTTAATATCTCTCTGAGGTATTTACAATACCTCAATTTCTTCCTGACCTACTAAGCAAATATGTTCTAAAGCAAACCATCTTCTATAGTTTTGCTTTTTATTTCACGTAGGAAGTGCCATGGTGATGAAGTTTTGATGGAAATGGATTTAATACTAGCTTTTTTTGTTTGTTTGTTTTGTTTTTTGAGACAGAGTCTCATTCTGTTGCCCGGGCTAGAGTGCCATAGTGTCAGCCTAGCTCACAGCAACCTCAAACTCCTGGGCTCAAGCAATCCTCCTGCCTCAGCCCCCCGAGTAGCTGGGATTACAGGCATGTGCCACCATGCCCGGCTAATTTTTTCTATATATATTAGTTGGCCAATTAATTTCTTTCTATTTATAGTAGAGATGGGGGTCTTGCTCTTGCTCAGGTTGGTTTCGAACTCTTGACCTCGAGCAATCTGCCTGCCTCGGCCTCCCAGAGTGCTAGGATTACAGGTGTGAGCCACCGCGCCTGGCCAATAATAGCTCTTAATAGGTGACCTTAGGAAATTTATGTAACTTCTCTAAGCCTCAATTTTCCTTATAAATATGGGGTTGTGAAGTTTGAATAAAACAATTTCTATAGTGATTGGCCGGGCGCTGTGGCTCACGCCTGTAATCCTAGCTCTTGGGAGGCCGAGGCGGGTGGATTGCTCAAGGTCAGGAGTTCAAAACCAGCCTGAGCGAGACCCCGTCTCTACTATAAATAGAAAGAAATTAATTGGCCAACTGATATATATATAAAAAATTAGCCGGGCATGGTGGCGCATGCCTGTAGTCCCAGCTACCCGGGAGGCTGAGGCAGAAGGATCACTCGAGCCCAGGAGTTTGAGGTTGCTGTGAGTTAGGCTGACGCCACGGCACTCACTCTAGCCCGGGCAACAAAGTGAGACTCTGTCTCAAAAAAAAAACAAACAAAAAAACAATTTCTATAGTGATTGACAGTAGGATTTGTTTTTTAATTTTGATTTTTCAGAGATGGGAGGGGGTCTCATTATATTGCCCAGGCTGGACTCAAACTCCTGGCCTGAAGTGATCGTCCCACCCTAGCTTCCTGAGTAGCTAGGACTATAGGTGCAAGCCACTATGCCCAGCTAAGATGGCAGGGTTTTTTTTAAAGAATGATAGTCACTGCTTCCTTTCTGTCCACTTATTTTAGTCAGACCCATCCTTAAAGGCACTAATGTCAAATAGTGATGATGGAAATGTCTTATATTTATACTGCCAATTGGTAGCTATTAGCCACATGTGGATATTGAGCAATTAAAATGTGGCTAGTGTAACTGAGAAGTTTAATTTTTAATTTGACTTAAAATTACTTAGGTCCATTCAATTACCTAGGTCCACTCAAGACTCACCTTTTTTTCTTCAGGAAACTTTTTTTTTGGAGATGGAATCTCACTTTGTTGCCTTGGCTAGAGTACAGTGGTGTCATCGTAGCTCATTGCAACCTCAAACTCCTGGGCTCAAGTGATCCTCCAGTCTCATCCTCTCTAGTAGCTGGGACGACAGGTACACATCACCATGCCTGGCTAATTTTCATATTTTTAGTAAAGATGGGGTCTCATTCTTGCTCTGGCTTGTCTGGAACTCCTGAGCTCAAGTGATCCTCCTGCATCGGCTTCCCAGAAGTGGTAGAATTACAGGTGTGAGCCATTGCGCCTGGTCCATGCTTCTTAACCTTACTTGGTCTCTACCACTTATTTGGTGGTACATTAATTTTTATGAGTCTTGTCTTTCTGGCTAGCTTGTATCTGAGGTTATAGATTTTTGAATCTCCACACTGCTGCATGAAAAAGAACATGATAAAAGTATAATTGTAATATTTTTAGCTAATACGTTTTAAATGATCATACATGTAGTACAAAAAGTTTTCTAGCTAGTAATTAGGTGAAGAATAGTGTGAAAGTTATCTGCAGTGATGAACTGTGTATCCATCCAGTCTGAATTTCACCTGAAAGTTCAGATTACATTCAAACTCTGGAAGAGGAAATTAAAGCCTCTTTCTTATGTTGCCATCTTGTGGCAGACTTGGATTCTTTTTTTTTTTTTGAGACAGTCTCCCTTTGTTGCCTGGGCTAGAGTGAGTGCCCCTGGCTTCTGCCTAGCTCACAGCAACCTCAAATTCCTGTGCTCAAGTGATCTTCCTGCCTCAGCCTCCCGAGTAGCTGGGACTATAGGTGCAAGCCACCATGCCCAGCTAATTTTTTGTTTCTATTTTTAGTAGAGATGGGGTCTTGCTCTTGCTCAGCCTGGTCTTGATTTCCTGACCTCAAGCGATCCTCCTACCTCAGACACCCAGAGTGCTAGGATCACAGGTGTGAGCCACTGCCTGGCCAGACTTGGATTTTAAATGGTGCTAATTCAGTTTTCCTGTATCCAAGGAGAGTTTTCTTAGGGGATTACCAAGAATAATACAAACTTGCTTTGAAAAAACTATTTTGGATTACTTTCTCATTTATCTGAATCTTTTAAGTTTTTTTTTTTAAATGTTTTTATTTTTCTGAGACAGGATCTTACTCAGTTGCCCAGGCTAGAGTGCAGTGGCATTTTTATAGCCCACTGCAACTAGCCTCAAGCAATCCTCAGTCTTCAGCCTCTCAAAGTGCTAGGATTACAGGGGTGAGCCACCCTGACGGGCCTCTGAATCTTATAAATTCTTTTTTTTAAAAAAATTTTATTTATTTATTTATTTTGAGACTGAGTCACACTCTGTTGTCTTGGCTAGGTTGTGGCATCAGCCTGGCTCACAGGAACCTCAAACTCCTGGGCTCAAGCAATCCTCCTGCCTCAGCCTTCTGAGTAGCTGGAACTACAGGCATGCACCACCATGCCCAGCCTGGCTCTTGCTCAGGCTGGTCTCGAACTCCTGAGCTCAAATGATCCTCCTGCTTCAGCCTCCCAGAGTGCAAGGATTACAGGCGTGAGCTGCCACGCCCAGCCTGAATTTTTCTTGACTCCTTCCTTTTGCATATCTCTTTTCTTACTGTGAGGCTGTTGATTTTTATAGTCTTTCAGAGGTTGGTTAGACTTACTGTGTAGTTTTACCCAAACTTTTAAATTTATACAAAATTGAGCTTGTATAGAGGTTCTGTCCTACTCTGATATAGAGCTTGGGCATTCAATGACATTTTCCAAATAGATGGGTCAATCATTTACATTATTTAATGGAGAGTCAAAGGATGAATAATTACTCTAAATTTCCTTGTGACTTGGTGTGGAACATGCTAGTATGAGTTGTCATGTAACCATAACCTTTGTGAATTTATTATTTTTTTTTATTTTCCAGAGATGTTTACGTAGTTGATAGATCCCGTAGTTTAACTTGATTCCTGGATAGAAGCTGGATTCATCTGATACCAGAGGTAAGTGTAAGAAAAATCTTCATTTTTACCTCATTTGAGTTTTTAATCACCTAGTAAGATTTGGAGCTCAGTGGTATTAGTAGCTGAAATTTGGTAGTTGAAAATACCTAGTTCTAACCTTAAGAGGGCTTTCCTGTCTAGGGATGAAAAGCCAGTGGTAGTTTGCTCTTCACCAATCATTTATAGTTTGCCATGATGAAATGCATGTTAAGTCCGTGTTTCAGCTGATCAGTGTGATTAAACACATGCTCTGGGCAGACTAAAGCTAGGGGCAAACACCTGGAATTAAATTCTGCTTGTTGAAGTTCTTACTGGGATTTAGCCCATGATCTCAGGTAATTCTTAAAGTTTTTAATTATCAGTTTGATATGACCAGCATTTTGTTATGCTCTGATCTTTTGTGAAATCTCTATATCACAAAATATCCACCTTTATGAGATAGAACTAGGGTCAGGAACAGGGATCCTAATCTAAAAATTTAGTGGGTTTTTTTTTTTCAAGACAGAGTCTTGCTCTGTCACCCAGGCTAAAATGCAGTGGCACAGTCATAGTTCACTGCAGCCTCAAACTCTTGGCCTCAAGTGATCCTCCTGCCTCAGCCTCCCAAATAGCTGGGACTACAGGCACGCACCACCATGCCCAGTTAATTTTGTATTTTTTGTAGAGACAGGGTCTCACTGTGTTGACCAGGCTGGTCTTAAACTCCTGGCCTCAAGCGATGCTCTTGCCTTGGCATCTGAAAGCACTGGGATTAAAGGTGTGAGCCACCATACCTGGCCTAAAAATTAAACACTACAGAAAATGTAGTGGTAACTGCTGTAATTCTATCAGCTACTTAGCTTGGCAGTTTTAAACTAATCACCATTTTATCAGTCTATATATATGTAAAGATTAAGGGAATCCCAGAGTTGGTCAAATCAGTTTTGTGAAGACCATATAATGTATACTATATAGTCACTTAAAAGTTATGATATAGGGCCTGGCGTGATGGCTGACACCTATAATCCTAGCATTTTGGGAGGCCAAGGTGGGAGGGTTATTTGAAGTCTTAAGTTCTAGACCAGCCTGAGCAAGAGCGAGATCCTGTCTCTACTAAATATAAAAAAAATCAGCTGGGTGTGGTGGCACTTGCCTGTAGCCCTAGCTACTCAGGAGGCTGAGGCAGGAGGATCAATATAGCCCAAGCGTTTGAGGTTGCAGTGAGTTATGATGATGCCACTGCACTCTAGCCTGAATGATAGAGTGAGACTCTGTTAAAAAAAAAGTTATGATGTAGGGGTTTATTGAAATGGAGTGGTATTCATGACATTAAAAATAGGATATAGAGCAATATGTTTCTGCTTATTTTTATTTGTATATTTTTGCTTGAGAAATCATCTTAAAGGATATATATACATTAACATATTAGGAGTTATTATCTCTAGAATTGGGTTCTATGAGTGATCTTGATATTTTTGTTAACCTGTATTTTCTAACTTTATTATATTCATGTATTATATAATTTAAAGTTATCTACTCCCATTGCTCCACTTGACCAGCCTTAAAAAAAAGTTATTTTAAGCAGCTTAGGACAGGCTTATAGTCTTATACCTGCATTTTCAGGCAGAGAATGAGGTAATATGAGGGTAAAATATAGGAAATACAAATAATTCAAAGTAATATCAGCACTTGAATAATTTTTTAGCTTTTTGGTATCTTTTGCAGAAGTAAAATTTCAAGAGACCAAAACCAGATCTGAATCTCACTTTTCTAGTCTGGACCTCTTCAGTGTTATAAATCCTGGATATACAATAGATGATGACTGCATTTTTCTTTTACGGTAAGGCTTGAGATTAAGAAGCTTTGATGTGCATATGACTCTTTGAAAATTCATCTTTGTGAGTTTATAGCCAGCTGTTACGGTGGTATAAAATTCATTTTTTAAAAAGTCAATTAAAAAGAACAAAGAAGACAGAAAAAGAAAAGAAAAAGAAATTAAAAAAATAAAAAGTCAATTAAAGATGTTGAAAGGTAGTATAGTGTATGTATGTGTGTTCTGGAATCAAACTGGGTTCAAACCCATGCTCTATCACTTAATAAGTTATGTAACCTTGGCAAGTTTCTTAACATCTCAGTGTCTTTTAGTTTCTGCATATCTTAGAAAATGATAATAGTACCTGATTCAAAGAATGGTTATTTTGAAGATTAAATTAGATAAATAGGCAGGGCTTAGAACATTGTAAAGCATATGGTAAATGCTCAATAGATGTTAGCTCTTTTATCAGAGTCTCTCTCTATATATTTATTTTAGACTTTGTACTACCTGGCAATTTCTTACATCTGCATAGTAAGTTGTCAGAAATTCTTTGTTTTTATTGCTTATATGTCTTTTTGCCAATTGGCCTACCCCTCGTCACTCCCCCCGCAACCCCCCCATCCAAAGCCTAAGTTCTAGAATTAGGCATCGTATGATAATGAGACTATAGTGTGTATCCTTATAATAATTAATAATTATTCCATTAATATTTTCTTTAGTTGATTAAATTTAGTTTTGGCACTAACTTATTTGTCATATAATTCCTCATTTTGTCTAGCTAGATAAGTTGATCCTTAATGATCTTTTCTAGTTCTTATTTAGATGTAATGATTCTTATGAGTTTCTTGATGTCTTTATTGTTTATAAATGTTTCTTAAAATAATGTGGTTGGAGATAAACTTTGATGGCTGTTCCTCTCACTGCTTGGAGCCTTAGGCGGTGGGATTTTGATCCATCATATATCAAAGCTGACTTGTCTTCACTCAGAGCACCATGAGGATGGGTTGGCTATCCATTAGTGCCTTCTGATTTTTGCGGAGTCAAACAATTACAAAGCATATGGTGATTCTAGAGTAAGAAAATGTACTTGTGTAGTCAGCGGATTTGGGGAGTTACTGAAACATTATACTCTAAAGTCATTCATGTTTAAATTTTAACTGGTTTACTCAGTTTTCTAGAATGGTTGTTGTCACATATTTCAGGGCAGTTTTAAAAATATCTTTTTCCTTGCAGCACGAAGGTAGATGATTCTTCAAATTAAAGAGGGAAGCTGAGTTTTCTCACCAGAAATGGTTTTATACAACAACTTGCAAAAATGTAAGAGGCGGCAAAGGAAAGAATAAAATAATATTTTCATTTTCTTCTTTTAGTCTTAGATCAAAATTGCTAGATTGTAAGCTCTAGGAAAGTAGGATACCTCCTTCCTTATGTCTAATGCCTGGCCTGGAATAGATTAAAAAACATTTGAAGTGAATTGAATTAAAATCTCCATTGATTTTTTTTTTTTCTTTTAAAATTTCTAGAAATGGCAGCCATTTTAATGGCAATTCAGCAAGCTATTTACATGGAATAACTGGGACTTAAACCTCAATTCTGATGTAAAATGTACATGTAGGTAGGTACATAACTATTTGATTACTTTTGAGTCTACTTAACACTATTAATATCTGATTATGATGCTAGATATTTTAAGAAACAATGAAGAATAACTGCCAAAATAACCTATTTATGTGAGGAATAGATACATAAAAGCTTATTGGCATTTTTTTTTTCTTTTTTTTTTTTTTTTTTTTTTTTGAGACAGAGTCTTACTTTGTTGCCCGGGCTAGAGTGAGTGCCGTGGCGTCAGCCTAGCTCACAGCAACCTCAAACTCCTGGGCTCAAGCGATCCTCCTGCCTCAGCCTCCCGAGTAGCTGGGACTACAGGCATGCGCCACCATGCCCGGCTAATTTTTTCTATATATATTAGTTGGCCATTTAATTTCTTTCTATTTATAGTAGAGACGGGGTCTCGGTCTTGCTCAGGCTGGTTTCGAACTCCTGACCTTGAGCAATCTGCCTGCCTCGGCCTCCCAGAGTGCTAGGATTACAGGTGTGAGCCACCCCGCCTGGCCATTTTTTTTCATTTCTTTTTTTTTTTGAGACAGAGTCTCTAATTTTACCTAGATTTTTTTTATTTTTTTGAGACAGAGTCTCAGCTTACTGGCATTTAATAGGAAATCTTTTTATTATGAGCATTTTATTTATAGTCTTGTTGAATATTTACCATTCATTTAAACTGCATACAACATTCACGTATGGCTAAAAAGTGATTATTTCTGCTTTATATTTAATGTTAAAATATTGATATTCTCAATTGTTTTGGCTAAATTATACTGCCCTATATGTTGTATATACATCCATGATGACATATTTAACATGCAAGGGATACAAAATAAAAATCCAACTATTGAGAGTCTGGTATACATCACTGTCTTTGCAATGAGAAAAATATTTGTGCCTATATTAGAATCTGACTAATGGTATGCAACTGTAATAACTTCTGTTGGCCAGAATATGAAACCTATTCTTGGCCAGGCATGGAGGCTCATTCCTGTAATCAACAAAAAACTTACTCTTTCTTTAGATTAAGATTCTTGGCCGGGCACGGTGGCTCACGCTTGTAATCTTAGCACTCTAGGAGGCCGAGGTGGGAGGATTGCTAGAGGTCAGGAGTTCGAAACCAGCCTGAGCAAGAACAAGACCCCGTCTCTACTAAAAACAGAAAGAAATTAATCGGCCAACTAAAAATATAGAGAAAAATTAGCCGAGTATGGTGGTGCATGCCTGTAGTCCCAGCTACTCGGGAGACTGAGGCAGAAAGATCACTTGAGCCCAGGAGATTGAGGTTGCTGTGAGCTAGGCTAATGCCATGGCACTCACTCTAGCCTGGGCAACAGAGTGAGACTCTGTCTCAAAAAAAAAAAAAAAAAAAAAGATTCTTTTATTAAAACAAATACAAGTATCAAACAAGTTTTAGATGTTGCTAATGGTCTAAGATTCAAATATAACAGGGAAAATTACCATCTCTGAAACTCTTAGAAAAATGTGGTATATAAATATTCATAAGCTGATAGGTACTTAGAATATTGACACAAGATCAAAATCAGTGTTCATGGTAAAAATACCATTTTTGAAAGGTGAAAGTAAATGGTATAAATTATGTGTAAGCATGAATTGTACTGTCAGAATTTAGAAATCAAATGCCCTTCAAATTGCTTCATGAATAACAATCATGAATATTCAGTAGTTTGTATAAAAACAGTGAATAGCATGAGTTAAACCATGTCAAAAATAACAAGAAATATGTTAGATCTTGGCCAGGCGTGGTGGCTCATGCCTGTAGTCCTAGCATTCCGGGAGGCTGAGGCGGGAGGATAGCTCAAGGTCAGAAGTTGGAAACCAGCCTGAGCAAGAGCAAGACCCCATTTCTACTAAAAATAGAAATTAATTGGACAACTAAAAATATATAGAAAAAGTTAGTCGGGCATGGTGGTGCATGCCTGTAGTCCCAGCTATTCGGGAGCCTGAGGTAGTAGGATTGCTTGAATCTAGGAGTTTGAGGTTGTGATGAGCTAGGCTGACACCCCAGCACTCTAGCCTGGGCAACAGAGTGAGACTGTCTCAAAAAAAAAAAGTTAGATCTTTAAGTTGTCAGATTTTTCTGTTGAAAATTCTCAGTTTTTGGCTATTGCAAACTAGGTATCAAAATAAACCGTGAGGAAGTTAATCCTCTGTGTTCAAGTACAGCACAACTACCACTTGAAACCTAATGCTTTATTTCCTTCATTATGATCTCTCTAGACTGCTTTTCTAAATAAATTCTCACAAAAACTTTTTCATAAATATAATTTTGTTATTTGGAGTAGTTTTGTCTTTCTGTTTCATATAGTCAATATAACTATTAAATCTCATTCTAAAAGCAAATGAAATATGCCATTTCTAATATTTCGATGTGTTTTATATCCCTTGCATGTTAACTATAATCTAGGAATGTAACTTGATTACCATTTCCATCAAAGACAGGTTGTTGGAATGTTTGCTTTCTTAAATATTGTGGTCATTCTTTCCTTTACAATTCTTATTGTTATTCAGATTATTATCTATATATGAAAAGCAAAACTTTAGAACTATTGAAAAGCATAGAATATGATATTGAGGTAGACATAAGCACAAAAAGGAAAAGTTGATAAATCTGTATATGCTAAGATTCAAACTTATGTTTGCATGCCATATAACTATTCAATGACTCTATAAATCAAGAAAATTATCAAAAGGTATGAATAGGCAATTCACAGTTGAGCATCCCTTTGTAGACATTCACATGAAAAGATGCTCAACCTCACTAGTAATCAAAGAATTGTGCATTAGAACAATATTGAGATACCATTTCATTGTCATTGGAAAAAAATGAAAACAAAAGAAAACAACTTGACACGCATGTTGGTGAGTCCGGAATATTGAGCTCTCATATACTTTGCTGGTGGCAGTAAAATGTATGTTATTACTTTGGAGAGTGGTTTGGCAATATCTAGTTTATTGAAGATTCTTATATTAACCCAGTTTCTGGGTATTATATCCTAGAGGAATTCTTGGCATGTGTACTCAAGGAGACGTGCAGAATGCTCAATGCAGTATTGTTTTTAATTGTAAAAACCTGGAATCAATGTCCATTAGAAGATGGGTAAATATACTGTGGTATATTTGTAGCATATGGCTGTTAAAATGAATTAACACAGAGTATGTATTAACTTGGACACATGTCCAGGAAGTGATCATATTGCAGTGCAAAGCTAACTTAGCTAGGATCATGAAGTTAAGTACTAATCAAATTGGAATGTTTTGTTTTTGAACTCTAAATGGCATTGTACCCTTTTGGTACTTTAGTATTTCTACATTTGGTGTAATTAAAACCATAAAATGCACAAAAGGCTCAAATAGCCAGAAACAGATGATAGGAAGTACATGGTTTACACAAGAACATCGAATTTTCTTTATATCCAATTTGTACTGGAATTAAATTACCACTTGAAACTCTCAGAAGGTATCTTAGGAAATGTACACAAAGGCCAAGATGACCCAATCAAATTACTGTGAACCACCTGCAAACAGACAAATTAGCAGGAAGTTACTTAATTAAGGCAGTTTATTTCAATGAAAAAGGTTTAGTCAGTATTATGGATTCACAACTCATAAAGGGGTTTGTAGGGTTTGGTGTCCTTTATGTGGCTGATTGTATCTGTTACTAATTAATAATAGGGTTATATTTGGAAAGGTTGCTACAAAAGTCGTCACTAAGGCTTATATCCTGAGGACCTTCTAGCCCTCTTCCTTACCTTAATTTTTAATCTAAATTGATAGAATCGATTGTCACAACTTTTATTTATTTATTTTTTTTTGAGACAGAGTCTCACTCTGTTGCCTGGCCTAGAGTGCCGTGGTGTCAGTCTAGCTCACAGCAACCTCAAACTCCTGGGCTCAAGCAATCCTTGTGCCTCAGCCTCCCGAGTAGCTGGGACTATAGATAGGCATGTGCCGCCATGCCCGGCTACTTTTTTTTTTTATATATATATATTTTTAGTTGTCCAGCTAATTTCTTTCTTATTTTTAGTAGAGACGGCGTCTCGCTCTTGCTCAGGCTGGTATGGAACTCCTGACCTCGAGCTATCCTCCTGCCTCGGCCTCCCAGAGTGCTAGGATTATAGGCGTGAACCACCGTGCCTGGCCCCGGATGTCACAACTTTAAAGTGATCTACCTGTGTGCTGTTAGAATTTAGACCCATATAGATTAAGCATAAAATTACACAGTTGTTTAGGTGAGCAAAGAAAAGTGACAGATAACAGCATTACAGTAAAACTGGTACTGAACAGACATTTAAAAGACCACCAGCAATTCCAGGAGAGCACACAGGTAGGTAGATCACCTTAAAGTTGTGACACCCGACCCTATCGCCTAATTTCAAGTACTTGCTGTATGTGATGAATGTTTGTAATGCAGACTCAAAGTTACAATTTCTTTAAATGTGTAAGAAGGATGTGTGAAAGCTGGAAACATGCTTATTCCAAGATGGGTAAAAAACGGGTAAAAAACAAAATGGTAGACTCTACGGAGGTGACAGCTATCCAATTACAGGTATCACACAATTTCTGGGAATTTTCTCCTGATACTTAGAAAGCCTGCGCTGCCGGCCACAATGTCCCAAATTTTAGGACACACACCTGGGGCTCAAGCCAGCCCCGCCGCTGCCTTCTCAGCTGCCGCATGCCCACCCCTGCTGTAGTCTGAGACTCTAAAGATACGCCCATGATAAGAAGGATGTTACTCTTGTGCCAGTTTCGGGGAGTTAAGGACACTCACCAGACTGTGGGACTCCAAAGCGGGAAGCCGCCTCTAGGGGCCGTCGGATTCGCTCTGTTGGGTTCGCTCCCTCGCGGCTTGAGTCCAGCGCCACAGTCTGGCAGGTCCCAGCATCCTGAGCGCCCCATCCCCACGCCGGCCCAGCAGGCCCCGGGGCGACACCACGCATGCGCTCTCTAACGTAGTGTGGCGTGGACGCCAGCGGCCTCAGCCAGGCGCAGAATCTGCGCTCGTGGTGGTGGTGGTGGTGGTGTGGAGGCAACGGCGTTTTCCCGCGCTTTTTGTGCGCGTCAGATTAAGTATTTTATTTCTAATATTAACTGTTGTTATTATTTTATCTGTCGAGCGCGGAAAGCGAGCTGAAAATTCCAGAGTGGAGTTTTTGTAGGTCTGGTTCTCTAAAACTTGCCCCTCAGCTTGTACGGTCCATTAGATTGGCCCTTTCCGCGCCTCAAGGGAAATTTAGAGTTAGCTGTGCCTCTCGCTCTGCCTGAGAAGGAGCTTGACTTCAAAACTCTTCTCAGATCTTCTGCTTGCCCTGTGCCCCTTACTCTGCCGGAAGTAAGATAGGCCTCTTAACTCTGGCTGCCCTGTGACATACATACCTGTGGAAACTCACCCAGCGGTAACGTTTGGTTTAAAGCTGTTACAGCATCCCTATAGACCAAAGCAACATTCTTGACAATTTGTCAGCTGATAAATGTGAACATTTTCCCTTGGTGTATGTTGAGTGTGTTACTATTATTAATATTTTATGCAATATATGGCTTGTTTTGGTATGTTCAGAATATTGTTTCATTTTTACAAATGTTTTAAGTAGAAGCATAGCATTGAATAGTACAGTAGTTATATTAATTAACTCACGGTTAAATATCTGCATAAAAGCAGAGTTTATGCAGATTTTCAGTCTTCATAATGGCGAATTACTTGGGTGAATTAACGTTAGTTTCCATCCAATGCTAGCAGGCTGCTACTGTTTAAATCAAGGCAACACAGGTCAAGAATCTGAGAAATCTGCATATATGAAAAGCCTAAAAATATTGCTTAAAAATATAATATTTTGCACTATAGAATGGCTGAAATCAGTGGCTGGACTTTTGTTTGCCAAGTGTCAGATATGGTACTAAAATATTATTCTAGCAGAGTATGAATGGATAATAAATTTGGATTTTTGTTTAGGTATTGACTGGTTGAAGGCACTGATAAAATTTTTACTTGTTTGTACTTTGCAAATACTACTGCTGCTTTTTTTTTTTTTTCCTTTTTTTTTGAGATGAGATCTTGCTCTGTTGTCCAGGGCTAGAGTACAGTGGTGTCATCACAGCTTACTGCAACCTTGAACTACTGGGCTCAAGCGATCCTCCTGCCTCAGCCTCCTGAGTAGTTGTAACTACAGGCATGTGCACCACATCCAGCTCATTTTTAAATTTTTTTTTTTTTTTTTTGAGACAGAGTCTCGCTTTCTTGCCTAGGCTAGTGTGAGTGCCGTGGCGTCAGCCTAGCTCACAGCAGCTCAAGCAATCCTACTGCCTCAGCCTCCCGAGTTGCTGGGACTACAGGCACGAGCCACCATGCCCGGCTAATTTTTTATATATATATATATTAGTTGGCCAATTGATTTCTTTCTATTTTTATAGTAGAGACGGGGTCTCGCTCAGGCTGGTTTTGAACTCCTGACCTTGAGCAATCCGCCCGCCTCGGCCTCCCAGAGTGCTAGGATTACAAGCGTGAGCCACCGCGCCCGGCCTTTAAATTTTTTTTGTAGAGTGGAGTCTTGCTATTCTGCACAGGCTGGGCTTAAAGTCTTGGCCTCAAGCTGTCCTCCTGCCTCAACCTCCCAAAGTGCTAGGATTACAGGTGTGGGCCACCATGCTTGGCCTTATAAATGTTCCTAGACTTTTTTTCCACATACATATTATTTTTGACTTTAGTATTGTAACTACGTATGTCTTTAACTTTTCCTTAAAATTTTTTTTTATTTTAATATATTTAAATTTTTCTATATATTTTAGTTGGCCAATTAATTTCTTTCTATTTTTAGAAGAGATGGGGTCTCACTCTTGCTCAGGCTAGTTTTGAACTCCTGACCTTGAGCAATCCACCTGCCTTGGCCTCCCAGAGTGCTAGGATTATAGACGTGAGCCACCACGCTTGGCCCTTAAATTTTTTTTTAAAAAAGAAAGGACACAGGAAAAGCATAATAAATATTGTTAAGTGACTAAAATCAATATAATATATTGATTAGAATAAATACAGAAACATAAAATGTACATTATTTTTTCATAATAAATGAAAATGTATATTTTATTTTTTATTTGTTATTTATTTCCTTTTCATTGTAATTTGACTTCTTTGACTTTTTCATTTACTCCTTATAGGGCTCTTTTCAGCATCTGGAGACCTCACTATCCTATTATGTCTTTGTGTGAAGACATGCTTCTCTGTAATTATCGAAAGTGTCGTATCAAACTCTCTGGTTATGCGTGGGTCACTGCCTGTTCTCATATCTTCTGTGATCAGCACGGTAGTGGTGAATTTAGTCGTTCGCCAGCTATCTGTCCTGCCTGCAACAGTACCCTTTCTGGAAAGCTAGATATTGTCCGCACAGAACTCAGTCCATCAGAGGAATATAAAGCTATGGTATTGGCAGGACTGCGACCGGAGATTGTGTTGGACATTAGCTCACGAGCACTGGCCTTCTGGACATATCAGGTTAGTACTTAGGATAATTTCTCTTGAGAGTATGATTTGAGGCATATATGGGAGCTTCTAATGTTTATCCTTCATTATTTTATATTTTTTATGAATATATGGAATTAATATATTTTCTTTTTTTCAAAAGCAATGATATTGTTGAAAATCCAACAGGAAGATAAAAAACCATCTATAATTCTATCACTCAGAGATAGCCATTGTTATAGCTTTGTACATAAATATATATTTTATATTTAAAAATACTTAATATATATTTTTTCTGTACGAAAATAATGCCATAATACTGTTTTTTTTTATTTTTATTTTTTTATTTTATTTATTTATTTTTTTTTTAATTTTTTTTTTATTTTGGCATATTATGGGGGTACAGATTTTAAGGTTTCAATAAATGCCCATTTCCCCCCCTCCCCCCAAAAGTCTGAGTCTCCATCATGACCATCCCCCAGATGGTGCACATCTCACTCATTATGTATGTATATACCCACCCCCCTCCCCCCTCCCCATAATACTGTTTTTATGGTCAGTTAAAGTTGACAATGTATTATGTCTGGTATGAATATTTTGTTAAATATTTCTAAGTTAACCTATAATTTTTTTTTTTTTTTTTGAGACAGGGTTTCACTCTCTCACCTAGGCTAGAGTGCAGTTGGGAGTTGGGTCATCATAGCTTCTGTAATCATAGATTCTTTTTTTTTAAATATTAATTCTTGACTCTTTTATTTTTTTTCTTCTTTATATAGAATTATAAGGAGAAGGAATGTAATCATATTTTTAATGTTTTTTTAAAATTTATTTTAATTAATTAATTAATTAATTTATTTTGAGACAGAGTCTCGCTTTGTTGCCCAGGCTAGGGTGAGTGCCGTGGTGTCAGCCTAGCTCATAGCAACCTCAATCTCCTGGGCTCAGGAGATCCTTCTGTCTCAGCCTCCCGAGTAGCTGGGACTACAGGCATATGCCACTATGCCCAGCTAATTTTTTCTATATATTTTTAGTTGGCCAATTAATTTCTTTCTATTTGTAGTAGAGACGGGGTCTCACTCTTGCTCAGGCTGATTTCGAACTCCTGACCTTGAGCTATCCGCCCACCTCGGCCTTCCAGAGTGCTGGGATTACAGGTGTGAGCTACTGTGCCCGGCCTTAATGGTTGTTTTGAATCGTAATTTGTTCCCAAGTTATAAAAAGAATGCTGTGATAACATTCTTATCAACTTCCCATTTTTCATTATTTGCTGAGATTAAATTCCTGAAAGTGGATAAATACATTTTTAAAAGTTTTTTAAGTTGCAGTATTTTTAAATTGTCCTCCAGTAAGGTATATCCATTTGTGTTCCCTAAAGATGTATATGAGGGTGCTTGGTTCCTCACAACTTCTACTCACTGGTTAGATATGGGTAAAATATTGCTTTTTAAATTTTATTTATTTATTTTTAAGATAGGGTCTAGGCTCTTTTGCTGGGGCTAGAGTGTAGTGGGATCATCATGTGCTATTGCAACCTAAAACTCCTGGGCTTAAGTAATTGCCTGGCTAATTTTTATATTTTTTGTAGAGATGAGGTCTTGCTATTTTGCTTAGGCTGGTCTTGAACTGCTGACCTCAAGCAGTCCTCCTGCTTCGCTCAGCCTCTCAAAGTATAAGGATTATAGGTATGAGCTACCATGCTCAACCACATTACCCTTTAAATATGTATTTCTTGGATGACTTTGAAGTAAACACATTTTCTTGAATTTTTAAAAATGTATTTCTTTTTTTTATGGATTGCTTGTTTCAGATTGCTTATTTCAATTGCTGTAGTTATTTTTTCTATTGATTTGTAAGAACTCTCTCTGTATTACGTGGTACATAACCCAAATGCTGCAAGGAAGTTTTTCCCCACTTTTTTTTTTTTTTTTGAGATAGTTTTGCTCTGTCACCTGGGCTAGAGTGCCATGATGTTGCTTACAGCAACCTCAAACTCCTGGGCTCAAGCAATCCTACTGCCTTAGCCTCCCAAAGTAGCTGGGACTACAGGCATGCACTGCCATGCCCAGCTAATTTTTTCTACTTTTAGTTGCCCGTCTAATTTTCTGTTTTCAGTAGAGATGGGGTCTCTTGTTCAGGCTGGTCTTGAACTCCTGAGCTTAAGTAGTCCTCCCGCCTGGGCCTCCCAGAGTGCTAGGATTGCAGGCATGAGCCACTGCACCCGGCCAATTTTTTCCCCACTTTTATTTGTCTTTATTGATTTTTTAATAATTCTTTATTATTTAAAAAAGCCTTTTTTCCATTTACAACTTTGTTTCTATATATTTTTGAACATAGAGAAATTTAAAATTTTTGTTTATTTGACATAATTTTAATGGTTGCATTGTATCAAAACTTGTTTCCTAATTATTAAAAGATGCTGTGATGAGCATTCTTGTCATCAAATTCACATCTTTAACACTTTTCCTTTATGATTTCTACCTTTGGTGCCCCCTTAGACCTTCCAGTAGAGAACTTGATCATGTTCTTGAATATATTTCTATATTTTACATATACATTTTGCTTCTTAACTGTGTTTGTCATCTGTCAAGTAAATATTTTAATTATATTTTTTTCTGGGTAAGTTGTTTCTCTTACATGCTCCTATATCTTTAAAAAATTTATTTTTTATTATTTTTAATTTTTTTCTTTAAACCTCACTACACAGAACATGCTCCTATATCTTATGCTTATCTTTATTGTGTTATTTATACTGTTTTGTAATTACCTGCATGCTTCCTTAAAGTCACGTTTTGATTCTTGTATATCTCTGGGGTCCTCAGCGACCAGTTACTCATCTTAAGTCTCAATACTGACTGAATGAATAGTTGTAATATCTTAAACTGGATTCCTATTTAGGGGGTAGTATTGCTTGAACATGTATATGTGGTATTGTTATCATCTTTTCAGATACAGTGGAAACCCGTGAATGAGTTAGCAAAGGTAGTCAGAAATGAATTTTTCTTCATTTATTCATTTTTTTTCTATTTAGTTATTTGATATATACTTTTTTGAGCAAACATGTATACTTCATGAACCCTCTTAGGTGCTGGGTATACATAATGAACAAAATATATGATCTTTCAGGAGGCTACAGTTTAGTGATGATGAAGATTTAAAAAAACCACAATCAAACATTTATAATACATTTTTATTTTATTTCACTTATGTTTATAATTTTGCTTTTTAAAAATTTACCACTATACTAACAAGACTATAATACATATGTAATGCCTACAGAAATAAAGGAAATACAGAGTACTCTGAGATCACATAAGAGGGTCAGGTAACCCATAATTGGTGGAATTGCATTAAACTATTTAGAATGCATAAATTAAAAATGATGAAAAAAAGGAAGTGCTTATATTTTACTTTTTGTCAGTATTTAAAGGACAGTAAACATCCAAAGATAAGCCAAAATTGATTTTTGTGTGTGGTAGTTGTCTTTTGTTGTGTAACAACCTTAGTGGTTTAAACAACATATTTAGTGGCTTAAAACAACACACATTTATTATCTCATAATTTCTATGGTTTAGCAGTCCAAGCAGGGTTTACCTGTGTCTTCTGTTCATGGTCTCGGAGGCCTATAGTCAAGGTGTTAGCTGTGATTATGATCTCATCTGAACCTTGACTGTGGAAACATTTGCTTCAAAGCTCACATGGTTGTTGGCAGCATTCACTTCCCAGTGAACTGTCAGACTAAGGACTTCAGTTGTTTTTTTTGTTAAGACAGAGTCTCACTCTCTTGCTGGGGCTAGAGTGACGTGGCGTCAGCCTTGCTCACAGCAACCTCAAACTCCTGGGCTCAAGTGATCCTTCTGTCTCAGCCTCCTGGGTAGCTGGGACTATAGGCATGTGCCACCATGCCCGGCTAATTTTTTTCCATTTTTAGTTGTTTGGTTAATTTCTTTCTATTTATAGTAGAGACGGGTCTCCTTCTTGCTCAGGCTGGTCTCGAACTCCAGAGCTAAAGCAGTCCTCCCGCCTTGGTCTCCCAGAGTGCTAGGATTATGGGCATGAGCCACATTATAGGCGTGAGCCACTGTGCCAGCCTCAGTTTTTTTTTTTTTCTTCTTATAAATAGACTTAGAGCAGTCTTAGGTTTATAGCAAAATTGAATGGAAAGTACAGAGAGTTGCCATGTATCTTCCCTAATCCCTCAAATCCACAGCCACCTCAATGATCAACATTCGCTACCAGAGTGGTACGTTTGTCATAATTGACAAGCTTACATTGACACACTGCTATCACCCAAAGTCAATAGTTTACATTAGAGTTCACTCATGATGTTGTACGTTCTATGGGTTCAGACGGGACAAATCCATAATGACATGTGTTCACCATTATCGTATCTTTCAGAGTAGTTTCACTGCCTTAAAAATCCTTTGTGCATCTGTCTGTTCATCCTGCCCTCCTCCCTAACCCCTGGCAGCCACTGGTCTTTTTACTGTCTCTGAAGACATTCTGCCTTTTCCAGAATGTCATATAGTTGAAATCATATAGTAAGTAGCCTTTTCAGATTGACTTTTTCATTTAGTATTTTTCCCCCTCTTTTTACCCTGAATATATTCTGCACAGATCACTTAGTATTTTTTTATTTATTAAAACATTCTTTTTAGAAGTAGGGTCTCAATCTGTCATTATAGGCTGGAGTAGAGTGGTGTGATCATAACTCACTACAACCTCCAACTCCTGGGCTCCAGTGATACTCCTGCCTCAGCCTCCTTAGGATCTGGGATTATAGACATGTGCTGCCATGCCTGACTAATTTTTTTTTTTTTTTTTTTTACTTTTTGTAGAGATAGAGGTCTTGCTGTGTTATCCAGTCCAGTCTTGATCTCCTGGCTTCAAGTGATCCTCTCTCCTCAGTTTTTCAAAGTACTGGGATTACACGCATGAGCCACTGCACCCAGCCTTCACTTAGTAATATGCATTTAAGTTTGATAGCTCATTTCTTTCTAGTGCTGCATAATATTCTGTTGTCTGGATATACTTCAGTTTATCCATTCACCTGTTGAAGAGCATCTTGGTGGCTTCCAAGTTTTGGTAATTATGAATAAACATTCACATGAGGGTTTTGGTATGGATATAAGTATTAAACTCCTTTGGTTAAATACCAGATAGTGTTATTGTGAGATCATATAGTAAGAATGTGCTTAATTTTGTAAGAAACCGCAAAACTGTCTTCCAAAGTGACTATACCATTTTACATTCCCACCAGCAATGAGTGAGAATTCCTGTAGCTCTGCATCTTTGCCAGAATTTGATGTTGTCCATGTTATGGATTTTGGTCATTTTAATAGGTGTGTAGTAGCATCTCATTGTTTTAATTTGCATTTCCCTGATAACATATGATGTGGAGCATCTTTCCATATGCTTATTTGCCATTTATATATTTTGTTTGGTCAGGTGTTAAGGTTTTTGGTCCATTTTTAAATTGGGTTGTTTATTTTTTTATTGTTGAGTTTTAAGTGTTCTTTGTGTATTTTGGATAACAGTCCTTTATCACATATATCTTGTGGTCTGTGGATTGTCTTTTCATTCTCTCAACAGCATCTTTTGTAGAGCAAGATTTTTAATTTTAATGAAGTCCTACTTATTAATTCTTTCTTTCATGGATTATACCTTTGGTGTTGTATGTAAAATGTCGCTGCCAAATCTAATGTCATCTAGATTTTCCCCTATGATATGTAGGTAGGAGTTTTAATAGTTTTGCATTTAGGTCTGTGATCTATTTTGAGTTAATTTTTGTGGAGCGCGTAAGGTCTGTGTCTAGATTCATCAGGACCTCATTTTTTTTGCTGGTTTTTGGCCAGATGCTTGCTTTTAGTCATTAATACTTGCCTCCTGGGCCTTTCCAACATGGCTGCTTACTTCTTTAAAGCTAACAAGGCTTTATAGGACAGGGTTTATATGTAATGTACTCATAAATGACATCCCGTCACTTTTGCCATATTCTAGTCACAGGTCCCGCCCGCACTCAGAGGAGGGAGTCACATATGTGTGTATAACTACCAGGAGGCAGGGGTAATTGGGAGCCCTCTTAAAGTCTATTCTTAACTCTGGATTACATTAAAAATGGTATTATATTTCTTAAAAACCTTTGGGATACTCACTTGTTTTGGTGCTATAAAGGTAGTAGTTTGAAAATATTCTTCCAGATTTTTTTTCTATGCATGTAGTAACATATTATTGTTTTTGGTAATAATTTGTCACTTCATTGTATGTCCTGATTGCTTCTTAAACTAGGTTCTCAATCTTGAAGCATTAACATCTCTGTATAAGCATCTTTTTTTCCCCTTTATGTTTATCTAACATTTTACAATAGATAACTTTGTACTTACTACCTTAAACATCTTTCTTTTCTTTCTTGGGGCAGGTACATCAGGAGCGTCTTTATCAAGAATATAATTTTAGCAAGGCTGAGGGCCATCTGAAACAGATGGAGAAGATATATACTCAGCAAATACAAAGCAAGGATGTAGAATTGACCTCTATGAAAGGGGAAGTCACCTCCATGAAGAAAGTGCTGGAAGAATACAAGAAGAAATTCAGTGACATCTCTGAGAAACTTATGGAGCGCAATCGCCAGTATCAAAAGCTCCAAGGTCTCTATGATAGTCTTAGGCTACGAAACCTAACTATTGCTAACCAAGAAGGCACACTTGAACCATCCATGATTACACAGTCTGGTGTTTTTGGCTTCCCAGTAGGTAAGAAAGGACATGTGATATCCCATATTCTTTTTTTTTTTTACTCCCCTTGTTGGGAGTAGAATATCCCATATTCTCATATTCTTTTTTTTTTTTTAATTTTATAAATTTTTTTAATTTAAAAAAATTTTTTATCTTTTTTCTTCTTTACTTGCAAAATCTTGGGTAGAGTATATCCCATATTCTTTACATCAGTGATTTTTCATACTGTGCTTCCCCGTTCCAAGCAGTCAGTGGAAACTCTAAGGGTCTTGAGTCATAGGAGGCTATGAATTCTTCATACATGTCTCAACCTGTACATCATTGTTTTTATCTATTGTATTTGCCTATATTTTAATTAAACCTTTAATTTGAGCAGAGTTAATTTCTGTAAAATAAATTTGCAAATTGTTACTTTAAAAACTATTTAGTTGTCATGATAATATTAGTTGTCTTTTATCGATTCCTTATGAAGTGCTAGGCACTGTTTTAAGTATTTTACATGAATTCAAGTAATTTACAAAACTCTATGAAGCAGGTATTATTATTGTACCCATTTTTCAGATGAGAAGCTAAGGCACAGAAAGTTAAGTAACTTAGTGAAGGTCACAAATCTATCTTCAGAGCCTATACTCTTAACCATTTGCTATTGTCCAAGTAGGTTATGTTTCAGTTTATTTCATATACCAATACTGATTAAATTATTGTCAGTTGTTTGATTGGTTCATTCTTTTATTTATTTTTCCATTTATCAAATATTTGTCAAACATATTTCATGTAACGGGCTATAAGACATGATCCTAAGCAATGAGGATGTAAAGATTATCCAAATAGTATTCCTGCACTCTGAAAGTTCACAATCTAGGATGATGCCAGCTCTTTTCTGCTTGTTAGCTGCCTTGCAGATGGAATGAATCTCTTATCTCTTCCTGAGTTCTCCCCTTTATACTACTGATGGAACAGAATCTAATAGAGTTTTGCTATGCTATTGATATAAATTGTTTTTGGCATACAAAAAATGAAGCTAGACTTCCCTAAATACTAATTTTTCTTGGTATTTATGATAGACTGAGGAAAAAGGTTTAGGGAGGAGGAGGGATGATGTTCTAGAAAAGGTAGAAGGTGATGAGATGAGGAATATCAAATATAAGGATTGAAAAAAAGCCAGGCATGGGCATGGTGGCTCACGCCTCTAATCCTAGCATTCTGAGAGGCTGAGGTGGGAGGATTGCTTAAGCTCAGGAGTTCGAGACCAGCCTGAGCAAGAGTGAGACCCTGTCTCTACTATAAAATAGAAAGAAATTAGCCAAACAACTAACAATAGAAAAAATTAGCCAGGCATAGTGGTACATGTTTGTTGTCCCAGCTACTCGGGAGGCTGAGGCAGGAGGATCGCTTGAGCCCAGGAGTTTGAGGTCGCTGTGAGCTAGGCTGATGCCCCGGCACTCTAGCCTGGGCAACAGAGTGAGACTCGGTCTCAAAAAAAGTAAAAAATAAAAATAAAAAAAAGAATTGAAACAAGAACAAACTTCTGCTTAACTTTCAGTTAATCATATATTTAATCAGTCAATGTGTTATTGTAAATGGGCATTGTAGATGTACTTATTTTTTTCTTGTCACCGTCCATATTTTATTTCTTTTATATTCACGAGTTCTTTCCTGTTCCTCTTTTTGTACAATTTTACCTCTTGTTACCATTGTTAGCTTGAAAGAGGTACAGTCAGCATTTTCCTTTAGTTACCTATTCCTTTAAAATCTGTAAAAGCCAAGGAAGCATTCAGTGAAAGTAGCTTAATACTTATTTAATTAGACCTATTGTCTGATTTTTCTTAAGCCTATACTAATTGATATTGGGTCATTAGTATATGTTAATATTTCATAGTTGTGATATATTTTCTAGAATGTTTATTGCAATGTTTTTACAAAAATTATTTTTATTATTACTATTTTTCGAGAAAGAGTCTCACTCTGTTGCCTGGGCTAGAGTGCCGTGGCGTCAGCCTAGCTCACAGCAATCTCCAACTCCTAGGTTCAAGCAATCCTGCTTCAGCCTCCCAAGTAGCTGGGACTACAGACATGTGCCACTATGCCTGGCTAATTTTTTCTATATATTTTTAGTTGGCCAATTAATTTCTTTCTATTTTTAGTAGAGACGGGGGTCTCGCTCTTGCTAAGGCTGGTTTCGAACTCCTAACCTTAAGCAACCCATCTCGGCCTCCCAGAGTGCTAGGATTACAGACATGAGCCACCACACCTGGCCTAAAAATTATTTTTATTTTACTTATTTATTTATTTTTGGAGACAGAGTATTGCTCTGTTGCTCTGTGCTCTGTTGTCTGGGTAAAGTGCAGTGGCATCCTCATAGCTCACTGCACTCTCAACTCCTGGGCTAAAGTGATCCTCCTGCCGCCTCAGCCTCCTGAGTAGCTGGAGCTTTAGGCTCATGCTGCCATACCTGGCTAATTTTTCTATTTTTTGTAGAGACAGGGTCTTGCTTTTTTTGCTCAGGCTGGTCTCAAACTCCTGACTTCAAGTGATCCTCTGCCTAGGCCTCCCAGAGTGCTAGGTTTATGGGTGTGAGCTACTGTGTACTTTTGGTCAAAAAATTATTTTTAAAGAACCTGGGACAGGCTGGGTGTGGTGGCTCATGCCTGTAATCCTAGCACTCTGGGAGGCTGAGGTGGGAGAATCACTCAAGGTCAGGAATTCGAAGCCAGCTTGAGCAAGAGTGACACCCTGTCTCTACTAAAAATAGAAATAAATTAATTGGCCAACTAAAAATATATAGAAAAAATTAGCCAGGCATGGTGGCGCATGCCTGTAGTCCCAGCTACTCGGGAGGCCGAGGCAGAAGGATCACTGAGCCCAGGAGTTTGAGGTTGCTGTGAGCTAGGCTGATGCCATGGCACTCTAGCCTGGGCAACAGAGTGAGACTTTGTCTAAAAAAAATAAAAAGAACCTAAGACAAAAGATTATGTGTGTGTATATATATATATTTTGATGATTCCTTGAAGTAGCTTAAATAGATAACAAATGAAAATGATATTGTAAATTTTAGCTCTACTAAAAACATACTTCATGTGTCAAGTTACTTTTGGTGATGAGATCATGCTACTATTGGAAACTCCATCACAGAAAAAGGTAGAACATATATACTGTGGTCAGGTGGAGTGGTGGTGGGGGTGTCATAGTCTTTTTCCTTATCTAATATTAGGTCTGTATTTTATCCATCTCATAGGCATTGAGTCCTGCTAAAATATTTATTGAATGCCTTTTGTCTTTTTGTTCCTAAAGATCTATGAAGGAATAGATGCTTAAATTTTTCTCTTATTTTTTTCCTAGGGAACAACTCCAAGTTTTCTTTGGATAATACACCAGTTCGAAATCGGGGTGGTGGAGATGGAGATTTTCAGTTCAGACCATTTTTTGTGGGTTCTCCCACAGCACCTGAACCCAGCAATAGCTTTTTTAGTTTTGCCTCTCCAAGTCGTGAATTACAGCAGGAACAAGTCTCTAGCAGGGCTTTCAAAGTAAAAAGAATTTAGCTCATTTTATAAAATGTTTCTCTATTCACTTTCAGTAATTTCATTTAGCAAATAATCTTTATTCTAGATAAGAGTCAATCAGCCTTTTTGTGCTTTTTTTAAGTCTTTGAAGTTGTCTTCACATTATCAACTTGTAAGAAACTCAGTGGCAGTGAGGAGTGACTTTAGAGTCTGGTTTCTTTGTTTCAATTATTTAAAGCATGAACATTTTAATCTCAATTTCATCATTAACTGTTGAGTTTTTCATCACTAGTAAAAAAAAAAAGGTCATGATGTTACTATGTGTTTCATAGATCATTATTTCTGTCTGGGCTGTTTCTGATTGAGTTCTGTGTTTATATGTATGTATGTAAGTACCTATATGTCTACATTTCACTTTGGATTCTGGTATATATGCATATATGTAAATGTATGTGTGTTAATTTACACTGATATTTTGCTGTATTTGTCAATATATTTGTGTGAAAATTTTGGTTTTGGAAAATGGTGGGTGCTCTGTAGCTTGTTATTTGGGTGTGTGTATTTATTTGTATATTAATATGTTTAGAGGTACTGTCAAGCCAGTGAATGAGAGTACAATTAATGCATGTATGTTCAATCCTTATTTGTATTTAAAAATAAATCACATTGATAAAGTTATTTTGTAAAGTTAGTTTTTGACATTTACAGTTGGCCCTCCATATCCTTGAGTTCCGCATTTGTGGAGTCAACCAACCACAGTCTGAAAATATTCAGAGAAAAAAAAGCAATAAAAAATAACCATACAGCAATTAAAAAATACAAATAAATAAACCAACACAGCATAACTATTTGCATAGCATTTACAATGTATTAGGTATTTTAAGTAATCTTGAGGTGATTTAAAGTATACAGAGGAATATGAGTAGCTTATATGCAAATGATATGCCATTTGGTGAAAGGAACTTGAGCATTCCAGAATTTTTATATCCACAGGGTTCCTGGAACTAATCCCTGCGGGTCCCAAAGGACAACTGTATTTTAAAATAAATCTCCTGGCTGGGCACAGTGGCTCATGTAATCCTAGCACTCTGGGAGGCTGAGGCGGGCAGATTGCTCGAGGTCAGGAGTTTGAAACCAGCCTGAGCAAGAGCAAGACCCCGTCTCTACTATAAATAGAAATTAATTGGCCAACTAATATATATAGAAAAAATTAGCCGGGCATGGTGGCACATGCCTGTAATCCCAGGTATTTGGGAGGCTGAGGCAGGAGGATTGTTTGAGCCCAGGAGTTGGAGGTTGCTGTGAGCTAGGCTGATGCCACGACACTCACTCTAGCCAGGGCAACAAAGTGAGACTCTCTCTCAAAAAAAAAAAAAAATCTACTTTTTTTTACCTTTTTGTCAACTGTTGCCTTAGGTTTTACTTATTTAGGAATGCAGTTCTGCAGAAAATTTGCCAGCATGTTATTGATCTCAAGAGATTATATTAATTAAAATAATTTAAAGATTTATTTCTTGTTCTCCTTTATTAAATAGTGAGCACTTCTGATTACTATTATAGAAAGTAAATTACGTTTAATTATTTCGTTATTTAAGATGTAATGTCAGGAAGGAAATTTGAATGACATTCTCAGTAACTATATGCTCTGTTAGAGGGAAGGCTTGAAAGCATACTGGTTGGGGAGCCAGGCCATCTGGGTTCTGGTTTTTCCCATGTATTGATTGTACAAGTTGGAGTTTAAAGTTTCTGGTCTTTAAGTTTCTATATTTGTAAAATGAAGTATTAAGTTATCCTTACAGCCTTTTCTAAGTCTTAAATTTTATGATTGATTCTTATTGGTTTGGGATGGATTACAATAGAATTACCCTAAATGCCAAATCCCATTGTTTTTTAGGTAAGAAAAATCATAATGAAATCATTTGAAGAAATTTTATATTATGTCATTATATTATAGAAAGGCAAGTAAATATGCTTGTTCTACATGATTGAATAGGAAGCAAATAATATTTTCTTCATTAGGAGTATAGAGTATAAGTTCTCTTCATTTTTTTTTTTCTATTTATACTCTAAAGTTAAAATATCTGAGAAAAAGGATGAAAAATTTTGACTTAAAAGTTTTAAGGCCAGGAGCAATGGCTCACACCTGTAATCCGGGCACTTTGGGAGGCTGAGGTGTGAGGATTGTTTGAGGTTAGGAGTTTGAGACCAACCTGGGCAACATAGTGAGACCTTGTCTTTACAAAAACTAAGAAAAATTAGCTGGAGTGGTGGTGGGCACCTGCAGTCCCAGCAGCTTGGGAGGCTGAGGCAAGAGAATTACTTGAGCCCAGGAGTTGGAAGCTATGATCATGCCACTGATGAAAGAGAGTGATCCCCATCTCTACAAAAAAAGAAAAGAAAACCCATTAAAATATTTAAAAAGTTTTAAAACATCCCTCCTTGTTTCATAGCCAATTACAGATTTTATAGATTACAGTACAAAGTATTTTCCTTCCCTATGCATTTTATATTTTGTTGGAAAATAGTTTGAGCAAATGATATTATGTACACTGTGGTTTCTGCCCTGAACGTTTTACTTCATTGTTAGGTTCCCAGAATCAGTTTGAAGTACAAGTAAACTATAATTAAAACTAAGAAAGTAAACAGAAGCTGTCAGAAATATTACATGGAACTTTAAAAAATCATTTGAATTTAATACATTCACATAGTACAAATTCAAAAGGATACAAAAAAGACAGTAAAGAGTCACCCACCCCTGCCCCCTAGCCACTCCCACGCTTAGGAAGCAAGTGTTTATTGTTGCCAGTGTCTTGCGTTTATTTTCAGAGATAGTCTTATGTAGAGGCAAGATTTTTTTGTTTAAAAATTATGTTTATTATTTTTGAATAGGTAATACATGTACATGGTAAAAAATTCAAAAAGGTACACAGTGAAAAGAATTTTCTTGGCTCACCCACAACTTCCAGTTGCCCCTTTTCCTTCTCTAAAGAGACAGTCATTGTTATAAGTCCTTCTGGAAAAAGTCTATGGTGTATAGCACGGTGGCTTTTATAATACCATCCCTAGTATAGCATATTTATTAGGATAGCACATTAAAAACAATAAAATTACTCATACAGAAAATCACTGCAAAGTTTGGAAAAAATTCAGACACTAAGTTACCATGGTACCACCTTCCGTTCAAAATTTCAAACAACACACAAAGGCACTGTCTTAACCTGCCTTCTTGGGGGTATTATAATATTAGTATTAAACAAGAAGGAAGATATGAAACAAAAGTATACCTTTAATTAAGCTGAAAATATTTTGTTTCCAGGATTGAGGAAAGAAACTATGAACTCAAAAGTGTTGAAAGCCTCCGTTGTGCTATAGGCAAAAAAGTTGGTTTGAAGCAAAGCTCTTCAGGTGCAGGCAAGCCTCCAGAGCCCTAGATGTCGCTGTGGCTTCACAATGCGAGTGGCCCTGAGTCTCTGTGGTTATAAAGTTGTGGGCAGAGAGGCTTAGAGTGGCTGGGAAATGATGGCTGATGAAGAGGAAGAAGTCAAGCCGATCTTGCAGAAATTGCAGGTGGGGGCCATAGATTAAAATCTGTATGTGCTTTCGTTACTTGGAAAGAAGCAGTTTATTCAGTGCCTGGGAATTTCTTGGCACATACACGGCGCTGCATGCGTCTGTGCGGTTACTATAACAACTCCCGAGGGTGCAGCCGCAGCCAGCCAGGGCAGCCTCCTGCGCCAGGAGAGGGGTGCAGCCGTGTGCTGGAACCTCCTGCTGCTGTCCCGACTGCGCTTTAATTTCGGTCCTTTTTGGATGAGGATTTGTTGCTCCTAATTTATTCGTGTATAGTTTTACAGGAAGTTTTTTCTTCTCGATTTGTCCGTAACAAACAGCTTATATATATCTGTGTGTGTGCGTGTGTGAGTGTATATGGCAGATTTGCATGAACTGTTATTACATGTTGTTTTGATCACTACAAAGGCCATTTCTTTAACACTTCTCTTCTTTGAAATTGGCAACAATACCAGTAATGGCCTGCACTGCAAGTATCTTTGTTACTCCCCTTAGGACGTCACAGTTTTGATTTTTTTGAACATTTGTAACCCTAGCAGACCCCAGTCTGAAGCAGAGGGGTCCGGACTCCTCGTAGTTCCCAGGTGTCTGTTTCTGACTAGGACTAGTCTTTTGTACTTGGTAGGTAGGAATTTACTAGTTGTCTCTTTACCTTTCTTTTATTAATGAGCCAAGATTTTCCCTATACCTCAGGAACTCAGTTCTTTGTGTTCTAAAACAGCCTGGAATTTAAACATTAAAACCGTCACAGTCTTATGACTTGCTTAAAGGCGTCTAAACTTGCAAATTTAAACATTAGTGAGATTTCTTTGTTTCTAGGTTAAAATAGTAACACTTTTTAGAGTGTGGGCATGGCTTCATTTCCTGCTGACTTGGATTAACTTCATTTTATTCCCTAGCTGTGACTGGTTGAAAGCAGAGATTATCAATCCTGGCTCCATGGTGTATATATGTTTGTACATGTACAGAAAAAAAATCTGAAAAGGTATACTAAAGAGTGGTTATCCTTAAGGTTGTTTGGCATGATTATGAAGAATTTTTTTTACTTATTTATTTATTTATTTTGAGACAGAATTTCACTCTGTCACCAGGGCTAGAGTGCAGTGGTGTCATCACACGTCACTGCAACCTCAGACTCCTGGGTTCAAGCTATCCTCTGGCCTCAGCCTCCCGAGTAGCTGAGAGTACAGGCGTAGGCCACCATGCTGGGCTACTTTTTCTATTTTTTTGTAGAGAAGGGTCTTACTCTTGCTCAGGCTGGTCTTGAACTCTTGGTCTCAAGCAGTCTTACCATGTTGGCCTTCCAAAGTGCTTGGATTACAGGTGTGAGCCACCACACCTGGCCTACTTACTGTTTTTTACATGTATAACACCTATTTGAGGCCGGGCGCAGTGGCTCACACCTGTAATCCTAGCACTGTGGGAGGCCGAGGAGGGTGGATTGCTTGAGGTCAGGAGTTCGAAACCAGCCTGAGCAAGAGCAAGACCTCATCTCTACTATAAATAGAAAGAAATTAATTGGCCAACTAATATATGTGGAAAAAATTAGCCGGGCATGGTGGTGCATGCCTGTAGTCCCAGGTATTTGGGAGGCTGAGGCAGGAGGATTGTTTGAGCCCAGGAGTTTGAGGTTGCTGTGAGCTAGGCTGATGCCGCAGCACTCACTCTAGCCTGGGCAACAAAGTGAGACTCTGTCTCAAAAAAAAAAAAAAATCTATTTGAGTTTTAATAATTTATGTGTATTGATTTTGCCATGAGAAAAAATTTACTCAAAATGTTCATTCCTGAAAAACCAAGCCAAACAAAGACCTCAAACAATTTCTTGCATATTTGCTTTAACAACTAAAAACAGGCAATAAAACCCCTCTCTAAAACTCTTAATTTGAAGCCATGATGATTGCAGGACAAAAGGAAATTGGTTGTTTGCATGAGAATTGCCTTTTCTAGGATTCATTTGTGGTATATGCCCTAAGCAGCTTGGGACAGGATATTTGGGGTATCTTGGGGTGGTGGAGTAGGTGCAGGAATGGAATAAAGGAATGAAGTAGATAAGAGGAAAAGTATCAGATAGTGATATTGTTTTCTATGGAAATGGTAGTAAGCTTTGATTTCATTGTTATAGACATCGTAGGGTAGAAGGAATGTATAAAAGGATATTTCTTTCTTTTTTTTTTTTTTTGAGTCAGAGTCTCACTCTGTTGCCCGGCTAGAGTGCCATGGCGTCAGCCTAGCTCACAGCAACCTCAAACTCCTAGGTTCAAGCAATCCCTCTGCCTCAGCCTCCTGAGTAGCTGGGACTACAGGCATGTGCCACCATGCCTGGCTAATTTTCTCTGTATATTTTTAGTTGTCCAATTAATTTCTTTCTATTTGTAGTAGAGACGAGGTCTTGCTCTTGCTAAGGCTGGTTTCAAACTCCTGACCTTGAGTGATCCTCCTGCCTCAGCCTCCCAGAGTGCTAGGATTGCAGGCGTGAGCCACCATGCCCGGCTGATCTTTGGCATTTTAATAGACCTGTTTACCTGCCTATTGTGCTATTCCTAGGCGAGATAAGAGAATGAATATTTCTAGGCCAAGAGCTGGCATGGCTAGCCAATTTCAAATTTTCTTGTCCAATCTCTCTACTTAATGGTACCATTCTTATACTTCTAGGAACTAGTGGATCAGCTCTATTCATTTCGAGACTGTTATTTTGAGACTCACAGTGTTGAGGATGCTGGAAGGAAGCAACAGGATGTGCGGGAGAAGATGGAGAAGACCCTGCAGCAGATGGAAGAAGTAGTGGGTATGACTCCTAAAGAATGTGCAGCCTCCTGCCCTTCACTGAAATGTGATAGAGTTTTGCTCTCTCTCTATAGGCTCTTTGGTATTCTGTTTGTGGCTGCTATATGATTGTACAATAGAATATTTCTTCTAAGGGCCCCTCTGCAGGAAGGCAACCTTTCATTCTCTAAGCTACTTTTCCTAAAATTTGATTATAGCAAATATCATGAAATAGAACATACTTGTTCGAACTATTGCAATAATTTCCTTAACCTCTCTGCTTCTAATTTCTTTTACTTTCAGATCAACTTATGTAATGACCATAGCTATGGTTATCTTTCTCGATCATTACTTCATGCATTTAATCTTATCCTCTTGCCTGCCTCTTTGCTCAAGTATATATAAAGATTCCTTCTATTAACTAGGTGAAGTCTAACCCCCTTCTTAATCTGGTATTCAATTCTCTATTTTCTCTGTTTTCTGATCTCGTTTCTGACTACGCACTTTCAGAGGAACTTTCTGTTTCATCCAGGTTGAACCATCTATTCTTCCACGAACATGCCCCATGTATTTCTGCCCCTGTGTCTTTGTTTATATCATTTTCCAGCCTGGAGGGTCTTGTCTTTTCTTCTCTTGACTTTCTAAAGCCCATTCATTTGGTATATGCCATGTGCTTCTTTTCATTGTTTTAATTTTCCATGTCTCTGTTTTGTCTTCTCCACCAGATTGTAGGCCCCTCTAGGGTAGAAGGGTAGGCTTCTGTGTAAGCCATTTACCTAATGTAGTACTTTGCTTATGGTAAGCTTTCAATAAATGTTTTGTTGATAAAAATTTTCCTCAATTCTTTTCATTCCTATAACTGCCATGGCGACATTCTTTGAGAGAAAGTGTCCTGGTCTTTAACTGTAAGACTGCTTGGGTTTTTCCAATTCCTTTGTCTCTTTCCCTTTCTGCTAGGTTCTGTCCAGGGCAAAGCGCAGGCTCTAATGCTAACTGGGAAGGCACTGAATGTGACTCCTGACTATAGCCCTAAGGCTGAGGAGCTTCTGTCAAAGGCTGTGAAGCTGGAGCCTGAGCTAGTGGAAGCCTGGAACCAGCTGGGTGAGGTGTACTGGAAGAAAGGAGATGTTGCAGCTGCCCACACCTGCTTCTCAGGCGCCCTCACACATGTGAGTTTTCTGCTATCCTTTCAGAAAACACAGATGAGAAGGATGATATTCCCTTGATTCTATGAATTTTCCTATGATGTGAATATGATAGTAGTACTGAGTTTGAACTAGAACAGAATCAGAAGGAAAGGGTGGAGGAGTATACCTGGATGAGGAAAATAGGGACGGGGGCTGAGAAAGGAAGAAGGTGATGGGATCCCGTTTGGGGTAGATAAATAGTGAAGGAAAGTTAGCAACCAAACTGATCCTTGTAGATGGGATTCAAGATACAAATAACAGCAAGAATTAAGATGAAAATTAGATTTAGGAGAAGGATTGAGGTCATGATAGATCTGGAAAGGGGAAGTAGAAACAGGAAGGTTGAGTGTATGTCTTCTCCATTTGTAGTGCAAGAACAAAGTCTCCTTGCAAAACCTGTCAATGGTGCTTCGGCAGCTGCGGACTGACACTGGAGATGAACATTCTCGCCATGTCATGGACAGTGTCCGACAGGCTAAGCTGGCTGTGCAGATGGATATCCATGATGGCCGCTCCTGGTGTGAGTTCTCTAAAGATCTCTAGCAAGTTTCTAGAGCAGTGGTTCTCAACCTTGTGTACATCTGGAACCCATCTTTTGAGTCTGACTCTAAGGGTTAAGCTGGGGCACCTTTGTTTTGAAGAGACCTGAAAGGTGTTTTGGTGTACCACTATTCTAGGAACTCTTGGATCTTTGGATCCACAATTAGAGAGTGATGTTTTCACATAAGCAAGGCTGGGCTTTTATATAGTCTGTTCAGATTGCTCTTTGGGGTCCATGTTTGTCTGTCTATGCGAGTAGAATTTTGGGTATGGTAAATCCAGTGTCATTTCTGGTTTGGGTGAAATGTGGTCATATCTTGAAATAAGTCATATCTTGAATGCAGGCCCTAAGAAGATCCACTGCTGTGTTTCTCTTTCAGATATTCTGGGGAATGCATACCTTTCTCTTTACTTCAATACTGGCCAGAACCCTAAGATCTCCCAGCAAGCCCTCAGTGCCTATGCCCAAGCAGTAAGTACTTATGGTCACCCAGGCCAGATAAATAGAGGCAGCAACAGAAGCAAGAGCACCGTTCAGTCTTCCTAGTGGTCCTTTAGCAAGCAGCATGGGCAGTGTTTGCTGGCATCCTATGTGTGTGGTTTTGCAAAGATGTGTCTGCAGAGGTGACATTTCTTCTTTTTTTTTTTAAATATTTTTAAAATTTTTTTCTTTATTATTATTGTTATTTTTTTTTTTAGTTGAAGCAAACAGCATGGCTGCAGAGTTCATTTCTTCTTATAACTTGAGTATTAGGAACCACTTGCAGTTGGTGCGTGGGTTCTGGGTAGCTCCTTGACACAGGTCTAGGCTTCTCACAGACATGAATAACCAAATTGCTGAGCTTGCCTCAACATGTTCATCTTTCTTAATGGAAAAAAAGCTTATAAAGTCTATTAAAGTAATGCTTAAAAATATTTTTGTACATTCATTCTAAAGAAAAATGAAAACTCTAATACTTAAGTGTAAATCAAGTGCTATCACCAAATTAACCATCAGATAATTTGGCTCTGGATTTTCCATGGACTAAATGAGAAAACAATATGCAGCCTATTCTGCATCATTTCCTAGGAATTATAATATTCACTGTGTTCATGGAGCTTTGCTTAAGCTTACAAGCCATTTTTATATCCATGGACATTTGCATAGGACTTTCCTTCAGGTTTTGAGTGCCTCATTACTCATTATTAGAAGGTGCACATTAGCTTTCTGAGCATTTTTTATTTAGCCCTCACATTCATCTTTCTTCTTTTGCTTTCTTGCTTCTCTTTTTAACTTTTCATTACTTATCTGATCTTTGTGGCAGAATAAAGAATATAGCTACCATATATTCATGTTTGCAGTTCAGAGACTGTCGTTTTTTTCAATCAGGGAAATTTAAAGACTAATTTCTTTTTTTTTTTTTTTTTTTTTTGAGACAGAGTCTCACTTTGTTGCCCAGGCTAGAGTGAGTACCATGGCGTCAGCCTAACTCACAGCAACTTCAAACTCCTGGGCTCAAGCAATCCTACTGCCTCAGTCTCCTGAATAGCTGGGACTACAGGCACGTGCCACCATGCTCGGCTAATGTTTTATATATATATATTAGTTGGCCAATTAATTTCTTTCTATTTTTTATAGTAGAGACGGGGTCTCGCTCGGGCTGGTTTTGAACTCCTGACCTTGAGCAATCCGCCCGCCTCGGCCTCCCAGAGTGCTAGGATTACAAGCGTGAGCCACCGTGCCCGGCCAAGACTAATTTCTTAATTTGGTTAATGTTTACATTTTAAAGAATAGTATGGTGTACACCTTCAAAGTTTTATATTTGGCTTCTACTAAATGGTTGCCTTTACAATAACTCTTAATTTTTTCATCCAGACCTGCATTTTAAAACATACCTGAAATAACCATTTAAACAATTAAAAATTTTTTATTTTTTATTTTGACAGGATCTCACTCTATCACCTAGGTTAGAGTGCAGTGGCATGATCATAGCTCACGCAACCTCAAACTCTTGGGCCCAAGCAGTCCTCCCACTTCAGCCTCCCAAGTAGCTAGGGTGACCAGTGCACACCACTATGCCTGGCTAATTTTTAAAAAATGTTTAAAAATTAGAGACAGTATTTCGCTATGTTGCCCAGGCTGGTCTTGAACTCCTGGGCTAAAGTGATCCTCCTCTCTCGGCTTCCCGAAGTGCTGGGATTACAGGCGTGAGCCACTGTACCTGGCCCATTTAAATAATTTTAATTCATGTTATTTGTGCTTTTACAATGTGCCAGACAATGAATAGAATCAAAATAGAATGAACATAGTCATGAACATAGCAAGCACTCTTTTCACAGTGCATTTGTCTGTCCTATCCTATGGTGTCTGGCTATTTATTTCAATCAGAATCAGAATTTGGCTTTTCATGTGAATTTTAAGAGGGCTTGGATAGAAACATGATTCTGCATGTGTCTGGAGCTGGGCTCCTAGGCTTTCCTCATTTATCACCAGCATCTCACTATTAAAAAATTTTTTTTATCAGAATGTTTTCACATATTTCTTCTTATTCTACCTTTATAATACTGTGTAGATAAACTGTAATCGTGTTTTAAAGTTGCACACATACAAAAACTCTTACATGCTTGAGGTTTCAGGGACTGAATAGTATACCACACAAGCAGTTGTTGTATGACAGTGTGGGTATGGGTAATATTTTGACAAAAAATAAACTTCAATTTTTCTAGGAAGAGGAGGTCTAGGACATACTGGACGTGGCAGTCCTTAAGGTTGAGACAGAATCCACTGATGATTTTTTTATCCAATTATAGGAGAAGGTTGACAGGAAAGCTTCCAGCAATCCTGACCTTCATCTGAACAGGGCGACGGTAAGACCTCTGGGGTGGTGGTCATCTGAAAGTCAAATAAGGGAGACATCTAGGCCTTAGCCTGTGAGCATAACTGAGTGTACATAGAGAGAAGGATGGGTCCAAACTGTAAGAGGAAAGCCATGTTATTTCTAGGAAGAGCTAGGTCAGTGTGACTCCAGTGTCCAGTAGAGTCACTGGAGGGAGAGTAGCAGGGGCTGAGGAGGTGGGAGAATACATAGAGAGTAGGGGGATGGTTTAGAAGGCTTCTTAAATGTTACATATAAATATAAAGGTAGAGTGACCTAATATATGCAGTTTAGCTATTTTAGAATTTGGACATTAGCTTCTTTGAAATAATTCCATCTTTGGGGTTGTGATCACTATGGTCCGGAGGAAGGATGTAAGGTGTTACCTGCTCTTCAGGCTGTTCATGGTAGGACAGGAAAATAACTGGGATTTAAAACAGTTCATTTTTCTAGATTCCTAGCTCATTGTGCCATTATTCCCTTGGCATAGTTTGTTTGGTTATACTTATGATTGGGAGGTTTTTGGTTATTCCTTGTACAGTTACACAAATATGAAGAGAATTATGGGGAGGCCCTGGAGGGCTTCTCTCAGGCTGCAGTCCTGGACCCTGCCTGGCCAGAGCCCCGGCAACGAGAGCAACAACTCCTGGAATTCCTGGATAGACTGACCAGTCTCCTTGAGAGCAAGGTAAAGATGTCTAAAGGGCTGAATCCTACTCTTTATTCTGTTACTGGTCAATAAAATAAAAATAGAATAGGCTTAGGAGGTAATGACCCCATAGAAGTGGGTAGGTAGGAGGGAAGGACTAGATTCTCAAGGAGGGTGACTAATTTCTAGCTTCTTATCCATTTCTCCTTCTTTGCAGGGAAAGATGAAAACCAAAAAGCTGCAGAGCATGCTGGGAAACTTGCGCCCAGCCCATCTAGGCCCTTGTGGTGATGGGCGCTATCAGTCAGCCTCTGGGCAGAAGGTGACCCTGAAACTCAAGCCACTGAATGTGCTGCAGCCTGGTGTGAACAGTGGTGCTGTGGTCCTGGGAAAGGTGGTGTTTAGCCTTACCACGGAGGAGAAAGTCCCCTTGTGAGTTTCTTTTGCCTTTCCTTTTTTTCACCCTTCTGAACTAGGCTCTCACTGCCTGGTCTTTCTCTGGCAGTTGAGGACATTGTTAGTGGTCACAGATTAGTGTCCTCTGATTCCCTTCTGTGACTATCTCATGAATAGTTATTGGCTAGGTGATGTCTAATAACCTCTTGATCAGAAGCTTTGTAGATTCTACCACTGCCTATTTTTCCTCAAGTTTGGTGGTATGTGGATTTCTACATCCATAGCCGAAACTTGACAGGACATGTTTTTTATAAGACAGTGACCTCAAAATTTTCCAACCCTTTGTGTTTTCATGATTATAGAAGTTGAAGGAGGGCTGGGTGCGGTGGCTCACGCCTGTAATCCTAGCACTCTGGGAGGCCGAGGCGGTGGATTGCTCAAGGTCAGGAGTTCGAAACCAGCCTGAGCAACAGTGAGACCCCGTCTCTACTATAAATAGAAAGAAATTAATTGGCCAACTAATATATATAGAAAAAATTAGCTGAGCATGGTGGTGCATGCCTGTAGTCCCAGCTACTTGGGAGGCTGAGGAAATAGGATTGCTTGAGCCCAGGAGTTTGAGGTTGCTGTGAGCTAGGCTGACACCACGGCACTCACTCTCTAGCCTGGGCAACAAAGTGAAACTCTGTCTCAAAAAAAAAAAAGGAAGTTGAAGGAGGACAGATTCTTAGTCCTGTTTAGATTTAAGAATGCTTAGGAAGTTCTGGAAGGTGGGCTTTGAGTTCAAATTTAAGGCCTGGTTGGGAGATTATCTCAGACGTCATTCGACAAATAGTTATTGAGCATCTAATACATGTGTTGTAAGGAGTGAGGGAAATAAAAAGAAACGTAAAAGACCTGGTGAAGGGTGCTCACAGTCAGCAGATGAGATGAATTAAGAATATTTACTTAGAGAATTTTCATATTTTGAAAAATTAGGGTTTAGTGAATGCCATCACTCCTTGGTCCTTTACTCACTTCCTTAATCCCTGGTTGACTGGTTTCCCTTTTTTCCCCCTCTACTGAAGTTGTTTTTTTCTTGGGATCACCAGTGTTTCTCTAGGCAACTAATCAAGTGGCTTCCACTACATAGATCCATAACATTCTGACCTATCTCTCAGTATTGCCTTTCATATCCCTTCTGTTCCATCCAAACTGAAATATTCACAATTCCCATCGTATGTCTGAACTTTCTCCATGGTATTTTCTAGAGGTATGTGTATTTGATGAGTTGAAGAGCAAGAAGATAGTTGAGAAAAGTTTACTTAACTAGAGCAGACCCTAGAGCTGAGAGGAATGAGAGAGGATATAGATAAAGGTAGCTTTTAGGGGAACTTGAGAACAAGTAAATATTTTGCCACTCCTTGCTTTCTCTTTTTCTGCCCAACTTCTAAATGTTAGGTTCCTAGGACTCTTTTTTTGTTTCTTTCCTCTTTTCTCTGTATACCAGTTTGGCATATAGTTGCTAACTTTGATCACTTATCAGTGGTTGCCTGACATACTATGTGGAAGAATTCTTAGGCTTTGACTGAGTTCATCAGGGGAGTGCTGTGCTTGATTGCAGTGTTTCCTGTGAATTCAGGTGTGCCAAGTGATGGCCGAGCACTTCACCCTCTCATCTGTAGATCATCTTGCTTGGTGATGTCATGTAAACCCAAGGCTTTGCTTTGGCTGCCTCCTCTACAGTCACAGGTATATCTCCAGCCCAGGCCTCATTTCCAAGTTTTGGATCCATATATCCAACTGCCGCTGGACTCCAATGAGAAATCTCTAACTCAGTGTATTTAAAATATTCACCTTTCTCTGTAAACCTATTTCTCCTCCTTGGATTCCCTGTTAATGAATGGTACCACTTCTCAACTTAGTCAATCATGACTTCTGGAACTGGAAGTTGTTTTAGACTTCTCCATCCTCCTGCATTGAAGCAATCACAAAATCTTATAGGTTTGCCTTTTTGTCCCTCCTTCTCTGTCTCTAGTACCTTAATTCAGCTCCTTATCATTTCTCCAAATGGGTCTCCCTGACTCCCTAGTTTTCCTCCAGTGTTCCACAGTGCTGCCAGAGAAATGTTTCTCAGATATAAATCTGACCATTGCCACTTCTTATTTAAAATCTCTTACTGGTACTGAGTATTTATTTTGGGATAGAGTTTGAACTCCTTATTTTAGCTTAGCATTCAAAGTCTTTCATGATTTGTTCCCTGCCTCTCTTTTCATTATCTTCTGTTACTTTCCCACATGTACCTTTTGTCCCAACCATGACACTGTTTTGTATGTTTCAAAGAACAGCTATTTTCTTGCCTCTGTGCCTTACATATAATTACTTTGCCTGGATAAGCCTCCCGCTTCTTGCTGTAGCTAACTTTCACCTCAACATTGTGTTATTAAAATTTTCAGACATATAGCAAAGTTGAAAGAATATTACAGTGAACATCTGTATACTCAACCACTTATATTCTAACATTAACATTTTACTAATGTCATATATCTGTCTATCCTGCTGTCAAAGCAAATTACAGAGATCAGTATACTTTCCTCTAAATACTTTAACATGTAATCATTAATTGAGTTCAGTATTTGTTTATAATTTTTTCAGTGTAAAATATACATACAGTGAAATATACAAATCTAAGTGTATATTTCTTAAGTTTTGACAAATGCATATGTGTCTATAAACCAACACCCCCATCAAGATAGAGATCATTACCTTTACCCCAGGAAGTCCCCTTATGCTCCTTTGAAATCAGTCTCTGTTCCTGTCTCCCTCAGAGTTTAATTTCCACTCAGGATTAGTTTTCCTATTTTAACCCAGCTAATTTTTCATCCTTTAAGATTCATTTTGAGGGTCACCTCCTTAAGGGAACCTTTCCTACTTTCCAATTTTGATTTAGATATTTCTCCTCTGGGTTCCCACAGCCCAACCTGTGGCTTCGCTAAATTCAGCACAAGGGAAAAACTATTCTAGCACCCATCACATTGTATTATAAGTGATGATTTTGTTTGACCCCTGCTAGACTATAATTCATTCATAGCTGAATTGATATCTTATTGCTAAGCACAATGCTTGACACATACGTAATAATCAGCGAAAGTCTGTGAAATTAAACTACATTGACAGTGATGGTTAGAGGCTTTGGTAAGGGTATGATAGTTAAATAGATAGACCAGGAATAATGTTACAGCTGTAACATTTTGGGCTAGTTCATCATTAATATTTGTTGTAGGCCTCAGTATGCATGTGTTGTAAATTCTTGGTAAAGTGACTGATTGATGAGTTTAAGACAAATGAGGACTTAGATGTACAAAGTAGATCATGGTACCTGTCATAGGTTTCCTAAGTAAGTAATTGAGAAAGCATTTGTTTATTTTGCTGGTATTGTGAAAACCACTATTTCTGCTCTTCTTTCCTTCCCACATGTCTTTTTTCCCCCTCTCTCTCCTAACCTATCTTAACTTGGCAGTACATTTGGCCTGGTAGATTCAGATGGACCTTGCTATGCTGTGATGGTGTATAACATGGTGCAGAGCTGGGGAGTACTTATTGGGGACTCTGTGGCCATTCCTGAGCCCAACCTTCGGCTTCACCAAATTCAGCACAAGGGAAAGGTGAGTCATGGCTAGGATTCTCTTTCAACTCATGGGCTCTGAAAATGGAACCAAGCCTATCTCTTTTTAAAAAATAGGTGTTGGCTGGGCCCAGTGGCTTACGCCTATAGTCCTAGCACTCTGGGAGGCTGAGGTGGAAGGATTGCTTGAGCTCAGGAGTTCGAGACCAGCCTGAACAAGAGCAAGACCCCGTCTCTACTATAAATAGAAAGAAATTAGCCAAACAACTAAAAATAGAAAAAAAATTAGCCGAGCATGGTGACACTGTCTGTAGTCCCAGCTATTTGGGAGGCTGAGGCAGGAGGATCGCTTGAGGCCAGGAGTTTGAGGTTGCTATGAGCTAGGCTGATGCCATGGCAATCTAGCCAGGCAAGAGAGTGAGACTGTCTCAAAAAAATAAATAAATAAAAAATAGGTATAGAAGTAATGCATATGTGAATGTGTGTATATGGTATATATATGTGTGTGTGTGTAATTTTTTGGTATATGTATAGGTTAATTTTTTATATGTGTGTATATATGCTATATTTATGTATTTTTTTTATTAAAGAGAAGCTACTTGTAAGCAAAAATTAATTAAAAGATGGACTGAAGTATTATTACTCAGATGGTACTACTGTTAACAGTTTGCTGTATATACCTAAAGTCTTTTTTCCTTTCATAAATATATGCACATATATTCATATGTATATTTTAATCATAAATGGATATTATATGCAAATATTTGTGAATATTTTGTTTTTACGTATTTCACCACATAATTTATTCTTTTTAGAAGAATGAGCTAGTACTGCATTTTTTTCTCACCACATCATTTTTAAATTGACATATAGTAGTCGTGATGAAGATGGTGATGATAGTTAACATTTAGTGAACACTTACCTGAGTGCTATACACTGTGCTAAGAGTTTAACTGCCAGCATTGCCTCATTCAGTCTTTCACAAAAACATTATGAGTGTAGGTATTGACCACTTTTTTGCTTTTTAGATCCTGGGTTAGTGAACTATGGCCCATTAACCAAATCTGACTGACTGCCTGTTTTTGAGAATGGTTTCTTAATTTTTAAATGGAAAAAATTTTTAAAAAGTATATTTTATAATACATGAAAATTACAAAAATTTAAATTTAGTGTCCATAATAAAGCTTTACTGGAGCACAGCCACACTCATTTGTTTACTGCACTACAGTGTCAGTGGTGAATTGTTCTGCAACAGAGACGTACATATGACTGACAAAGCCTGAAATATCTACTCTCCAGCCCTTTACAGAAAGAGTTTGATGACCCCAGGTCTAGATTATTTCTGATTTTTTCCTATTATAAAAGTACTATAGTGAACATTTTTATATCTTTGCCCATATCCATGATTATTTCCTCAAATGATTTTCTAATGTAGAATCCTGGGGCCAAAGGCTATGCAGAATTCTAAGGATTTTGATGCATATTGCCAAATTATTCTTTGGAGGGTTGTACCAGTTAGCTGTTATTACTGACAGTGAACGTGAGAAATTGTTTCCCTGCAGTTTTCTTCTCAACTCTTGGTAGAAACCTTTGAAAAATTATTTGCTAATTTTACATGAAAAATAAAGCATCAACACTGTTTTAATTTATATTTTTTATAAATTGCCATTTTTGGTCACTTGCCCATATTCCTGTTAGGACTTTTTAAAAAATTGATTTATGAGAACTTTTTAATTTACTTTACTTTGACTTAAAAGAGCTTGCTTCATACTCCGGTGGAACAGTATTTTTTGGGAGAAGATTTTTTAACAACATGTTTTACAATTTAAAGTACACTTGAACTGATGATGTGAGCTAGTATCTTGTTTTATTGTTAGGAGACTAAGCATAATTTATACATTCTGTTTCTTCTTCTTGATATAAAAGGAAGAAGAAACTTTAATTTCTATTTGGCAGATTAATTTAGGGCTGTACAGACACTTGGACTGAGAATTTCTCAGAATTTCCGCTGGCTCTGGCCTGCTGCTATGTGTATTTAGTTAATTGTCAAAAAAACCCCAAAACACTGTGGGAAAGGGCAGATTGTTGAGATGCTGGTTGCATCCTTTTGTTAGGCAGTGCCAGAAACCTGCCTTTTTTGAATCAGATAACCGTCCCATTCTTGTAGTGACACTACTGGTACCCTAACTGTCCCAGGGTTTCCTTCTGAAGATTGAAAACTTTGGGAAAATTATATCCCCTTTGTTAGCTCAGTTATATCCAATGTGAGATGGAAGTAGTGGGTGTATATACTGGGAGCAGGGAAGCAGGGGAGTTGCAGGTGGTATATCCTCATGCTGGAGTATTTTCTGTCTTGGAATCTATAATGAACCTATATCTGTCTGCCTTTTCTAGGACTATTCCTTTTCCAGTGTTCGTGTGGAGACGCCCCTCCTGCTGGTGGTGAATGGGAAGCCTCAGGGCTCCAGCAGCCAGGCTGCTGCCACAGTGGCATCCCGGCCACAGTGTGAATGACCTCCCCTGACTTGCGTGCTAAAGAGGGAGTGGAGGAGAGGAGATAAGCTCAAGGCACCCTGCAGCTGGACCAGACACATCCAGTGACTCAACTGGGATGGGGGGATGTTTAAAATGAAGACTTTACCTTCCTCTGCTCCGTAAGACACCTGTGTCTCTCCTGTCTCCCCTATCACCATGTTGCAGTTCTCTCCAGGGTCACATGCTCCCCTGGTATATTTCTCCTGCCTTGTTTACTGCTCTCTGTTTTAAGCTAAGAGCATGAAATTGGTAGAAGTGTTGGGATCTTGCCATGGGACAGAGTCTCCAAGGTTCCTGTTCTTGCCTCCTTCTTGAGCCTTGTGTATATATCATTTCAATATTTATTGCTAAGGGAGGGGGTTTAATTTTTTAATGGCCTGGTTTTTGAGCAATTTTTATTTTTAAAATTTAGCTCCTTTCCCCGTCTATGGGGCTGGAACGGAATTAAATTTGTTTGGAAAAAAAAATACCGTGTCGTTTGTCCTGCTTCATGCTCTTTAGGCTTGGATTCTTGGTTTTAGGATCACTTCAATCTATTGGAGTAATCGTCTCGAAGCTTGTCTTTTTTTTTGCAGTCACAACATAAAGGTGAACTGTTTCTACACCATAGAGTTATATGTGATGAAAAATGGATTCTGGGAGATGCAGCCACTGGGGGTGGGGGTTGGGGGGGCGACAGCTTCTGTTGCGTCAGTGGCGTGAGATGACACGCCGCCCGGGTTCTAGTGTGCCGGGCCGCCGGCAGAGCTGACGCCCGTGTCTCCTGGCTGGTCCGGGGTCCTGGCACCGCCCCACGCGCAGACCTGGCCACAGCCCGTGCCCCACGTGACGGCTCACGAGGCACCTGTCGGACTTCTGCAGGGGCTGAGTGGTGCGGGGCCGCATCCAAGCATCTGGGCGTCCCCACAGCTAACTTTCCTGAACAAGTAGTAGATAGTCTTCCAGCTGACGTATCCACTGGCATTTATTGTGGTTGGGCCAGTGTTGGAAGTGGAGATGTCCACAAGACAGTGGTAATCGCGGGATGGAACCCGTGCTACAAGAACACAAAAAAGTCTATGGAAACTCATACGGTGGTATCTTCACAGAGGACTTCTATGGGGAAATCTCCTATGTGGCCATAGTTGGCGACCTCAGACCAGAAAAGAACTCATTTAATTCCCCTCTGTTGTTTTATGAAGTTTTTTTTTTTTTTTTTTTTTTTTGAGACAGAGTCTCACTTTGTTGCCCAGGCTAGAGTAAGTGCCATGGCATCAGCCTAGCTCACAGCAACCTCAAACTCCTGGGCTCAAGCAATCCTGCTGCCTCAGCCTCCCGAGTAGCTGGGACTACAGGCATGTGCCACCATGCCCGGCTAATTTTTTCTATATATATTAGTTGGCCAATTAATTTCTTTCTATTTATAGTAGAGACGGGTCTCGCTCTTGCTCAGGTTGGTTTCGAACTCCTGAGCTCAAACGATCGCCCACCTCGGTCTCCCAGAGAGCTAGGATTACAGGCGTGAGCCACCGCGCCCGGCCTGTTTTATGAAGTTTTATCATGTTGTTTTTTTCTTTCATTGTGACTTTTTAAAAAATAATTTTTATAAAGAGACAGAGTCTTACTCTATCACCCAGGCTGGAGTGTAGTGGTATGATCATAGCTCACTGTAACCTTGAACTCCTGATCTAGCCGTTCTCCCACCTCAGCCTCCTGGAAGGACAGGCGTGAGTCACCATGTCTGGCTAGCTTTTTTATTTTTTGTAGAGACATATGTTGCCCAAGCTCATCTTGAATTCCTGGCCTCAAGTGATCCTTCCACCTCAGTCCCAAAGTGCTGGAATTACAGGCGTGAGCTACCATGCCCACCTGGGTTTTGTTTATGTTGTGATTTAAATGTATATATATTTTTTCTAATGAGTTTTAATTGGCCTAGCATCTTTTATTAAAGAATAAATCCTTTCCCTTCTGGTCTTTAAAGCCCATTCTGTCTTAAATCAACATTTCATATATAAAGGCCTGTTTTTAAGCTCTCTAATCTATTCTGGCCTATTTATTTCTATACCAATACCACATTGTTTTATAGTCTTATAAGAAGTCAGTATCTAATCAGACAAGGTCTTTTATATTTTTTGCAAGTGTCCCCTTTACACTTTAAAATCAGCTATTAAATTTTTGTGAAAAATACCTCTAGGATTTTGACTGGGATTGCATCAAATTTACAGATCAGTTTAGTAAGAATAGCCATCTTCATAACATTAAATCTTCTTATCCATGATTTTCTTATTATCCATTAAGTCTTCTCCAATGTCTTTCAATAATTGAAAGGTTTTATATACCTTTTATTAGATTTATTCCTAGCTACTTTATAGTTTTTGCTGCTATAAATAGTATTTTTGCAAATGACATTTGCTGACTCAGTTTGGAAATAGAAATAGAATTGGTTATTTTATGTTTTTTGTAGCCATGACGTTTTTAGAACTCTCTTTCATTTTAATAAATTGTTGATTCTTCTGAGTTTTCCATGTACAAATAATGACTATTTTATGTCTTCTTTTCCAATCTTTATTTATTTATCTTCACTATTTGGGACCTCTAGTGTGCTGAATAGAAGTGGTGATAGCAAGCATCCTTGTCTTATTCCTAGACTTAAGTAAAATACTTTCAATGTTTCATCATTAAGATATTTGTTGTATGTTTTTATATATACTTGTTATTAAATACTAAGTTTGAGTTTATAATTAAAATATTTAGATTTTACCTAATGCTTTTTCTGCACTTATTGAAATGGCAAATGATTTTTTTCCTTTAATCTGTTAATGTGGTAAATTAGAGTGCTCAACTTTCAATCAATAAACCAAACTTGCTTTCTTGGTACAAACGTTACTTGGTCAGGATATATTTTTTGTACATTGCTGGATTAATTTGAGTAATATTTAGGATTTTGTATCTGTGAGTCACAAGTGATATTAGTTTATGAGCCTGTACTTTTTATTTCTTAATATATTCTACTCTGGTTTTGGTATCAAAGTTATGCTAGCCTCATAAATGAGTAAAGAGTGTTTCGTCTGTTTATTTGAAAAGCTTATGTAAAATTGGTTTATTTTATTTTGGGGGGAGGGCAGGACTTACCTATATAGTCATTAGTACCTGGAATTTTCTTATGGAAAGATTAACTATTGATTTAAATTCTTTAACGTATACCAGATCTAATTATTCAAGCTTTCCTTTGAGTCATTTTTTATTTTTTTGAGACGGAGTCTCACTCTGTTGCCCAGACTAGAGTGCCATGGCGTCTGCCTAGCTCACAGCAACCTCAAACTCCTGGGCTCAGGTTATTCTCCTGCCTCAGCCTCCCGAGTAGCTGGGACTACAGGCATACGCCACTATGCCCAGCTAATTCTTTTTTTTTTTTTTTTTGGCATATTATGGGGGTACAGATTTTAAGGTTTCAATAAATGCCCATTCCCCCCTCCCCCCCAGCTAATTCTTTCTATATATTTTTAGTTGGCCAATTAATTTCTTTCTATTTTTAGTAGAAACGGGGTCTCGTTCTTGCTCAGGCTGATTTCAAACTCCTGACCTTGAGTGGTCCTTTCACCTCGGCCTCACACAGTGCTAGGATAACAGGTGTGAGCCACTGTACCTGGCCTGAGTCAGTTTTGATATTTTATATTTTTCCAGTAATTTATACATTTCATTTAAGTCTTCAAATTTGCTTATCTAAATATATGCTCATTGTGTTCTCTTGCCTTTCCTTCCTTCTTTCTTTCTTTCTTTCTTTCTTTTTTTTTTTTTTTATGTGGGAGCTTGCCTTTCTCTTTCAGGCTAAAAAATCTCTTTTAATGCTATCCAGGAAAGAATGTTCCTCTTCTGTCAGTGACCTGTCAGTCTGTTGAGTTCTGGGGAACCACAGTGCCTGGTACTGGCAGGTTTGTAGCCTTCATTCTTTCTAATCTTGATCTTTTATATTGAAGACAAAGATGCTATTTTTATTTTCCAAATGAAAATTGGGTTGTTAGGATCACTCTGTGTATAAGCCAGAATCTCATTCTCAATTTTCCTAGGATTTGGTTGGTTTTCAGCACACTCTCAGCTCCTAGCAGATTTGCATAGAGCAGGCAACCATGGGGGAAGTTCTCATAGAAAACTGCATGTATACGTGGTGTGGGGTGATGGAATGGGACATATATGGGAATATATGGGGAAAAGGAAACTGCTCTGGCTTCTTACTCCACATGGGAGATGGCATTGTGCAGTGGGAAAGATAATTAAATTTTTGCTCTCTAATTGTAACTTTTTCATTTATTTCAGGAAGTTAAATATACAATGATGTAAAATTGAAAAATTTAAAAAAATATATAGAGAAAAAGCTTCATTTTCACTCCTGACCCTTAGTTCTCTCATGGAGTAAATACTGATTTTTTTTTTTTTTCCTTTTTAAGATACTCTCTCTATATATAACCATAGTGGTATATTGCTTAAAAAAACACAAGTAGAGGGGAGAGGTGGCAAGGGCATTATATGTACCTTTAACAATATTTATACCCCCATAATATGATGAAATATAAAAACAAACAAACAAACAAACACCCCACAAGTAATACTACCTGTGTTATCTTAGGTAAATCTTGAACTTCAGTATTAACTTCTTCAAATTCCTAAATGGAAATACTTATACATACTTGGCAAAACCCACAGTGATTTTGTGGAAATTGATCAAGTAGTGTTGTGAACATGCTTTGAAGATCATTGGGTATTTTATAAGTACAGGATGGATGGGAGGGTAGTCATGGGAGTGTTATCATTCTACACAAAGCACAATGAGTCACATGTGATCTAACTTGACAAGAACGATTCTGAATTGGCAGCAGGGTTGTGTGTCAGCAGTTTTCTGGCTAACTCTGTAGGGTATGCTTCTCACATGTCCCATCCCTCTCCTAGCATGTTGGGGGTTCCTTCATGGCTAATCAAGAGATACCACTTGCACCTTAATTGTCAGGTGCATATTCACTTGTGATAGGATGTGGAAATTTGCCAGAGCATGGGACACCTCTGCCTCTCTCCTCCTCTTTGCTCCCTCTTCAGGGAGTTAGTATTGGAACTTGGCTGATGCAACAGTTTGAGTCACTGTCCCTCAGTGCTGTGGGATCTACTCACTTTTAATTGAGAGTTGCTGGAATCACTTCTCTCTCCCTCCCTCCCTTACTCTGAATTCCTTCTCTAATTGGCTCTCAGAGGACTCCAACTCCTGCTAATCAACCAAGACAGAGCTGCTGCTGGGAGCCCCAGACCAGCATCTGGGGACCTCAGGTTCTGCTGTGACTCTGCTTCTTTAAGTTTCTTTTCTAATCGGTTAAAACAACTTTGTCTTCAGAGTAGGCCTGGGAGAATAGGGTTCCTTTGGGCATTGGTTTCCCAGAGGCAGCTTGAATGGTGCTAACCTCTGCTAGACTTTGCCAGC